AGAAAGTGAGAGACTCATCACCAAACACAGACTCAAATGCAAATAATCACCAAACAGGATCAGAAAAAATGACACTGAAAACAATATTACCTACTCTGAACCTTTTTAATACCAACATATTACAAAAAAGTTTCATATAAATATGATTACCACAAATATTCACATACCTTTATAACTTCATAAATTGAGGTACTGAAAATACCTAAGAGAAAAAACTGCATATACTATACACTACACATCTTGCACAAGCTCAACTACTACTCAATTATATCTGCTATATGTGGTTTATTTAATGTATTTTGTTCCCTGTGATAACTGATGACAGAATGTCTGTAATGCAACAATAGTTGTATGGGGTTTTAATTCATCAAAATACTCGTGTAATTTAAATAATTTAATAATGAACCCTTCCACCCATTGACAACAATGTGCTAGACCTATAATTCCAACAAACCAAGTGGCACTCGGTGGGTGATGTGGTCGACCTGGGAACCATAGTTAATTATTGTTTTTAAATCGTCTTGCCTTCAGGATGATGTCAAGCAACTAGGCTACCATGGCTCACTGTGTATGTCAACATGAAACTGTTAAATGACAAACTGTGGCAGAAAGTCACCAGCTGTCACTGAAGCAAAAATCAACACAACAGGCACAGTTTACGTGCTCCTTCAACTACCAGGATGCCTCAGATGTCGAGGAATGTTTCTCACAATCAGACAGCAATGTGCCAAGTAATCATGATTCCCAAACAATCATTTTCATGTGAATAGGCAGGCACACTCAGAGAGACCTTATCTAACTACACTTTCCTACTGAAAACAGAAACTTCAGCTACTGTCTGGTTCAGGAAGTTAGTTAGTTATTCCTCTTGTGCCAAAGATGGCGCATAGGGCAGAGGTCATAGCTTTCCACGTCTGACGGTTCTTTGCCACTTGATGTAGGTCTTGAGTGCGACTGAGACCTATGGTTGAGCTCTCCCTTGTGATGGTTCTACGGAGAGTTTCTTTTGGTCTTCCCTGTTTTCTTTTACCCTCTGGTGACCATATGAAGGCTTGGTGGGGAAGTCTCTGTATGTCCATTCTGAGTACGTGACCGATGTAATTCCAGCGACGCATTCTAATAAAATCAGACACATATTTTTGTTTTGTTTCCTGTCTTATAGATGTATTGGACCTAAAGTCCGACCAGTGAACATTCAATAGCTTTCGGAAGGCAGTGGTATAAAACATAAGAAACATTTTACTCAGAGATACTGCAGAGAAGCAAAATACAAGCTCTGCATACATCAGCATGGGAGCTCTTATGTTGTTGTCTACTGGAAAGAGAGAGAGAGAGAGGGGGGGGGGGGGGGGAGATAGTGATGTCTATTCTGCATGCACAGTTTAGTCTGTGTGGTAACTGATCAAAAGTTTAGATATGTTATTCTTCTGGAGGATCCAAGTCTAAAACATTTATTTTATTTCACTTTTGTACCATGTTCAATATTTCTATATCATTTTCATTATTTCTTCTACCACATGTATTTAGTGTATGTATTGTGTGTATACTGGCTATCAGGTGGGGGCAAACATGAGAAGATCAGATCAATCTGGATCCATCAAGTCACACTATATAAATATAGCACAGGCCACAAAATTAAGATCACAACCAATAAACTTTCCCTGTTGGGGTTCTGATGCCTACCCGAAGAGAAAAACTTTTGACCCCCCCCCCCCCCCCATGTTGTAAATAATTATAAGTGTGCTGAAGTTGTGAATTTTGTCTTGGGCCGAAAGGCAGATATCGCAGCCCAGTTGTAAACCACAATATGAAGTGCCTACTGCCCTTGTAAGGGCAAATACAGAAGATTACATACTTAGGCGCATTGGGCATATGGGAAGAGCACCCATATTTTTACAGACCAATCGGCACTGGATGGGTAATTTGGTCAGCATTACGCCGGTCGTCTTTACTTCCCCAGGACAGCCATCCTGGTACCCAATTAAGGCTGGGTCGACCTGCGACGCCTCATACCATGATAAAATCCACACAGCCGGCAGTGGGTTTCGATCGCGGCAGTTGGAATTACGAGTCGGACTCGCAACGCCTAAGCCACGGACGCCGCACAATGAGGTGAGGAGACCACTTTTCTTCAACATCTGAACTATAGGTGGGAAAAAATCTCTACCTGCCCGACAGCTTGGAGAAACCATCCAAGTGGTTTTGAACCAAGGACCTTAATAAGGTTAAGTAACTGCAAAAGCCACTGGAGGATAATAACAGACTAGAAAATTTACAAACATAAATATGTCCCTCCTTTACATGCAACAGTGTAAGTATGTCTAACCAGCAAATAATACATTTCAACAATTTCATTTCAAGTAACCTTGGGTAGGTACTTCAACAAACAGAAAAGCTGGAAAAGATTAAATCATACAAAGCTGATATAATACAGACTATATTATCATCATCATCTTAACAGGTCCTGTGCAGAACGTCGTTTTCATCACGGTCTGCTTGAAAGAAACTCGGTCTCCCGCCTCAGACTATATACCATCATTTAATTTAGTTTAAAAAAAAAAAACTCAGTCTAAGATGTTTTTTACATATTCTTTTGGATTCAATATGGACTGTTCAAAACATTCCTTTCTATCCTGTTAAAAAGATTCTCTATATTGTGGATACAGTTCAGCCCGGCCCGTCTGACTCTCTTATCAACATTCATCATAGGGTTTCTCTTGAAAGTTCTCTCCTCCTCATATGCACATATTTCCTATTCCAGTGCCTGTTTGGTAATTCTCTGACCATTTTGCCTCAGGACAGGCCCAATATCTCACCATATTCTTCTTCTACATTCATCTGAAGATGAAATTGCATTGTGCCCATTTACAGCATGGCTGCGATATTTATGCCTCTCACCCAACACATCCTACTTCTGTGGGCATTTGTTGATCGGGTTGGCCTGCCTGATGAGTTTCATGGGACAATGCAGTCTCATTCTTGTGTGGTCATCTTTGTTTTTCCCAGGACATAGGTGGTGCCCCACATCAGGTTGGTTCAGAGAAGCTGATCAGCCCTCAAGAGGAGGCAGAACATTAGCATTCCCCGCCATCCAAGGAGGCTTCCATAAATGAGAGTCAATACATTGTGCTCTGGTACTTGGTTCACCCAAGGAATCGTCACATCCTGTTCATGGCTGTTTAACCTCACTTCCATATAATGAACGTCTCATTCATCAAGGCTATGTCTTTGGGAGCCAACTACTAGTAAGCAGCCTGCAGACCTGGGATTTCAATTACCTTAAAAAAATGAGTACTTTGCTTCTTTCACTGCAGTGGACTTCCACTTTGCCTTTTAACTGCTGACATCAGCAATTGTCCATATATTTGATTTTGATTTCTTAGTCTTTCGTGAATTCCTGCTATTTAGTTTTCATTGAAAATGCATAAAACATGGTACACTGAAATACACTTATCCTGCTCCATCTACTCGATAATTTACTACTTACTAACTCAACAAGGTTCAGGAAACAACTGACCAATTCAAATACTGTCCACCAATCCTCTGAATAATATATAGTACAACATCCCATAATGTGAAACAAACAAATATGTTCTTAACAAAACTGATGACAATGAGTTCAGCAATGCATTTTGATAAACAATACATAAGAAGATGAAACAATACATAAGACAATCACAAGAAGAATTCAGCAACAGACTAATACCTACTTCACAGTAGTTTAATTTGAATATTTTTCACTGCCATCTAAACAACAACAAAGACAACATTTCTTCTACTAATTAAAAGGAATGCTCTGAACATTCATGGTGATTTACATTTTTATGTTAAAAAAATTACTACTAGGAAAAACTGCTTGTAACAAGTCGCATGAAATGCCAAACCCATACTGAAGGGCTGGCTGTAATGAGTTTCCAATACCCTCTAACCAGCATCTTCACATAGGCTTCTTCTAGTTCTCTTAATGTTGTCCATCCACATTTCCCATTGTCTTCCTCTTGTAAACTTCCCCTCCTTCCGTTAAGCTGACATATTTATATCCACCATAACACGAGAGGCCAGCGTGTCCAACATTAGCATCTATGTGAGCCTAACTCCCACTAAACAGATTATACCTTCCTGCAGGAAAGTTTGTTTCAGCTATCAATTTTGCCTGTGCATTGGTCCTAAGGCCTACTCTCCATATTTCCAACTATTGTGGAATTTTTAATGTGTGCAGCTGGAACATCGCATTTTTATATTTATCTGAAAAGAGAAGGTATGGTATGTTATCTCCCTACAACAGATATGGAACATGCGACTTCATTAAAAACCAAGTTATTTTTTAAAAATAGAAAATCCCCTAGGTTACAAATGAACCAGATAACATCTGTAATCGAGACGGGTACCAACATGTCTCAGCCACATTTCCCACCCTTAAATCATTCCACCTGTACTTTTTTTTAAAAACTCATTTTTGCCAATTTGTCTTCAACATTTCACAGACTTGAATTGTAAAGTGAAACAGTTATGAATTTGTTACTGAGGAAGACAATGAACATATTTTTAAAAGAGAAACCGCTGTAGGATGTCTACAATTCTTCCCATTCTGATATGGCAGTCAATGTGAACTCTTTATACACAACAAACGAGATACATCATCATCATCAGGTGCCTTGCCCACTGGGGTGGGCCATCATACCTCCTCTCTACAACCTGCGATCTCCTGCAGCATGTATTAGTTCGTGTGCTGACACACCTCCATGCCATGCAACAAGACTGTCAAGAATCTTCTCTCGTCTTCCTCTATCCCTCCTTCCACAGATCTTTCTGGTGGTCACAACATGTTCTATTTTCCCTCTTCTCATAACATGGCCGAAAAATGATGACTGTCTCCTTCTTTTGTCTGTGATAAGCTGTCTTCAGGCTCCCGCCTTTTTCAAAACCTCTTGGTAAATGACATACATAAATGACACCCAAAAAAATACAAAACGTGTAAAAGATCCTTTCTTCCCTGTGGCTTAAATGGAGTCTATGTTGGCCATGGTGCTGGTCTCTGGCATTATGTAGGAGATGTCATCCCATGGATGGCGGTACAGACCCTGTTTCAAGCGTTTCTGATCCAAAAAGTGGCCTAAATGAAGAAACATTTGTATACACAAGTTAGGAAAAAATTAGTAACTTATTTCTTTCAATATATTTACTGCTGGAATATGATGAAGAAATTGAAAATGTCACAAACTATGAATATCTAGGTCCTATAATAAAAAGCAACGGAGACTGACAGAAATTAAAAGGAGGATGGGGATAGCAATGCAAAGATTGAACTCTAAGTCTATGGTTAAGCACCAGCAAGGAGACCAAAATTACAATTTTGAGAGCTTAAGAAAGAGATTAGGGGCTTTTGAGCTGAAATGCTATAAGAGATTCTCAGAATATCTTGGACAAAGAATAGGAGAAATACTGACATCTTGAAAGATCTGAACATCAAGGAAGATTGGCTAATAAACAGCATCCTGTCTCAGAAGCTATATTTTGGTCATATCAAGCGCCACGAAGGAATGGAAAATGGAAAAATATGTGACTGAGGGCATGGTACCAAGAAGGAGGGGCAGGGGCCGACCAACATGAAGATAGGCACAGGATATAAGTGACTCCTTGAGTATGAAAGTACATTAGGTGGGAGAGCTGGCGAGAGACCGAGTTTCTTTCAGGCAGACCGTGATGAGAGCAACGTTCTACAAAGGACCTGCTACTTGATGAATATGTGGAAGTGGAGTAGGTGGCACCCTTGCCAGCAGGCCTATTGGTTATAAGTTCAAGTCCTATCAATGCAGGTTGTTTTTTAATTGTCCTGAGCTCCTAAAATGAACACACAGAAATGTCCTGAGAAGTAAATATGTCAGTGTGATAATCCCAACATCACTGATTCTGTTGTTAACAGCTGCTTCCATCAATGAGAAAATGCATTTCTAGCGCCAGACTGTTTGCCCTGGCACTTCTGACAGCCGCCTTATGCATTTAATGCGTATGTATTCTATTAACTTTGCTGAAACTGCCATCTGAGTCAACTTTTTCACAAGGGAAGGTGACGGACATAATGTTTTTCCTTGACATAGGAACAGAGCAATTATGTGGTAACCAGTTTGCTATGAAATTGGAACTGCTATTACTTTACCTCAACTAGTGCTGAATAGTCTATAGAACTGTGTGCCTAGTACCGTACGCTCAATACATTTCATGGCAGGGGACTGAAATAAGTACTTTTTTTGTTTGTTTGTCGAATTTACTGCTAAGAGATCACCATCAGACAGGTATTGAAAGTTATCTGATCATGTCACTCTACTCTCCTAATTTTCAGCAACTCTTTAACTCAAGTATTTTTTTTTCTGCTGACCATTCAGTAAACAATAACACTGCTAACTGTAAAATTGCCTAGTAAAACCATACACAGCCTACAAATGTTGGGGTTGGTTTGCAATGTAGCATACGCAACTAACTTTTAACTTTCTGTATTTACTTCATTTACAAATTGCAGCCGATATTTATTAGTCACCGAGCTACCCATATACTGAACCGATTTCAACGTTGGTTGGTTGCTTGCTGTGTTCTCTGGAAGTCTGAAAGGGTTTTCAAATACTGGAGTGAGTTTGGTGTAGTGAATTTTTCTGGACACACTGCCATCTTTATGGTTACAGTGTTGCAGAGCTATCCTTCCCCTATGTTCTGAAACTAGGGTGTATAACACTAATAATGTATCTTCAAATTTATAGAGAAACATATTAAGATGTGATCAAGTCATGATTTAGTGCAGGCTCATACAGTCTGGCTATGTATGATCAGGCTCAGGTTGGTCTTGTTTTTTCCACAGGTTTTAGATATCTGATTGTCAACAGACACAACCCAATGCCCACATGAAATCAAATGTTTAGTAGATATTGCCCCTCAGCAGTTTCAGTCTGAATCCACATTGCCAGCTCTGTAAATATACATACCAGAGCCAACTTTGCATTATAGGCCCCTGGCAAACCAGTGTTATGGGGCCCCCTCAACAACCACTTACAGGAATGAATGGTAAGTAACCTGGCATACACAGATAAGCTTAAGGCCTCTATGCTCATGGGTTCATGCGTTAAGACAGCACACAGCTGGTATCTAACCCACACTGCTTGTTGGGGGGGGGGGGGGGGGGGGGGTATTACACCACAATATTTATTATACTTAAAACTGATGGTGCCCTGTGTTCTGCCAGCCCATAAGGAAAGCCAAGGCTGATGCTGGTGTTCGTCCATCACGAGTGAGGAAGACCACTTTTATCCAAAGTATTAATTAATGATATGTGATTATGAGTACCAAGGGTGGCTGAATAGTCCAATTTGAGCCGGGAAAATTCTTGAGCAGTGCGGAAAACAGGTGGAAGCCTCACTAAGTGTTGGATTAGCAATTCGGTTCTATCTAGTCTGCCTCCTTTTTTCTGCCTGTGCAAACTCTGCTGTCCGGCAGGCTAATGCATCATTCCTGAGGGATGTGCGCTAGCCAAAAACGTTCTTGTGTCGCAGCCACCCACGTCGCTGTGTTGATGCCAAAAGAATAAAGAGCAGTTTTGAGAGTGTCTTTATAGCGCTTTTTCTGTCCTCCCTGCGACCTATTTCCTTGCTGCAGCTGCCCATAAAATACTCTCTTTAGGAGGCGATAGATGGGTCTGGGGTGTCAGATACTAGTAGCACCTCTGGCAAGGTGGCCGTCATGTCCTTCTTGGGGCAGTTCACCACCACTGGGCTAGGTCTGGCACTCAGCTCTCCTGTGGCTCCCAGCAGCTGTCAGCATGCAATAGCGGCCAGCCCATGGGCAACAGCTTCAACGGGCTGGCTAAACCAGGAGAGGGCAGCAGACCTGGTTCTAAACCACTCGGTAAGAGGGATATGACTACTTTGCATGCCCATTGGAAAGTCAAGGCTAGTGACATTATAACCTGTCATAAAAAGGGTGGCACAAGACTGGTGACCTCAACTTCTATTCGCAGATGAAAGGTAGACAACACTAATATGAGAACGAAAGTAATGACAAACTACTGAATGTAAAACTGCCTAGTGAAAGTGAAATCACAAAAAAGGAGAACAGTAGTATAACTCACAACAACAAAAAGCTTAGATAACAAAGTGTGCTAGGACCCTTATTGACCCAAACACATTACCTATAAATCCCATGCTGCGTCCAAGAACAAACAAGGCATTCAAAGCTCCAATTTCAATAAACTCTTGGGCCTCTTCTCTGTGGAGTCATAAGTACACGGCTGAATAATTACACCGAAAACAAAGCAAACATGATTTCAATTATAATCACACAAAGCAAAAGTGATTTAAATTAGAATCAGAATGGGCTACCAATCCTTACCAACTATGGAACAAGGCCGCCTTTACTTCCCAGGACTATAGCTGGGACCCACTCAAGGCTGGGTGGACCTGATGGCCAAGGTCATTGTTGAAAAAAAAATTTTTGGCTCCGTCAATGTTAATAATAGAACTACTTTATTTCTATCTTGGTTCCTTGGCACTATTTTACTATTTTAGGGTGAAAAAGACCGATCCACTCCCTGTTTTTCTCCCCCCCCCCCCCCCCCCAGCATAGTGTGGAAGGCGATTAAGTAGGGTTTTGTTGAAATCTGATGTTTTTGGCCAAAAGACACAGGTCTTCCAGCCTGGTTGTAAACATTGCCACCCTCTTTTTCAATGTGAAAGCGGAACTACTTTAGACTTATCATGTAAGTTTCAATTTACTGCTCCGAACAATAGTTGCCGGTAACATTCGTCTGAGACTAATATAGTTAACTTTCAGTCCCAGAACATCAGGGCTAAAGCCCGAGGGAAGCAATAATAACTTATGGGTAAACTACATCCACATGGGGAGTCGCCCTGGTGGAGCGGCAAGACGCTTGCCGCGGATTGGAAGTTCGTGGGTTCGCTCCCTGGCGGAGCTGGACTTTTTCCAAAAATGACCTTGGCTCCCAGCCCTGAGTGGGTACCGGGTGCAGTCCCAGGAAGTAAATACGGCCAGCGTGATGCTGACAACATCACCCATCTTGTGCCGATTAGTCTATAAAATATAGGTCTAGCCCTTTACGCACAAAGGTGTAGAAAAGGGCCCTTATTTTTTTTTTTACATCCACATGGGCCAAATACACAACCATTATCATCATCCTATCTCATCTCATCTTAAACATCTGCTATGTTGTAGAATCAAGGTGAAGTATAATTTACAGGAAATAGCCAGTCTGTGTTCTTAGTAAATTGGGATTCCCAGGGAGACCCTCTGTCCATCGCTTGCATGGTCGGCCTCTTCTTCACTTCCCACCTGGTCTGTACATCATGGCTTGCTGTGGTAGTTTGTCTGCTGACATTCCCCTTATGTGGCCAAACCATTTCACCTGTTGTCTTCTAATGAAATCCAGAGCTGCTGCTACTCCCACTTTCCTTCGGATTTCATTGTTTTTGATCTTATCTCTTATTGTTATATTGAGAGTCCTTTGCAGGAATCTTATTTCAGTTGTAATTTTTACTGTGTGGGTTCCGGGGGCCGTATTATAGGGAAAAAAAGAACAGACCCACTGCCTTCCCAAAAGCATTTCGTAAGAGTTGACTAATTTCGAGCTTCCTTCGAAGTCGGAGTGCATCTGTCTGAGAGGAAAGGAACCAGCAGTCTGCATTCAGCTGAATTTCAGTATTTGATAAATGTCCACCCATACATGCAAAGTGAAGTATACAGCTAATTTACCTTGTGAAGCAGCCAGTGTTCCGAAGGAGGTCAACAAATGCAACTCCAATGACACCATCCACATTCAGGATCAAGTTGGGTTTCTGAGAAAATATGATAAAATTGTCATGACCTAACAGGATGCTCCTGTATCAAAATTTCACAACATACACAGGATGCTCCTGATATCAACATTTTACAACATACAAAGGTTGCTCCTGACATCAAAATTTTACAACCAACATGAGATGTTCCTGATATTAAAATTTTACAACACACACACACATGATGCTCGTGATATCACAATTTCACAAAATAGTCTCCTTGACTTACAGCTGAGTTCTGTTCTGACGGTTGGGTAATACAGGCTGATTTCTAGACCCTCCTGAGCTGGAGGCAGGAGTTCTGGGACCTTTTGTAGCATTTTATCTTTATTTACTAGTTTTATTAATTTTTGTGTGGTCATAAATATGGATGGTCATAAGTCGAGGGAAAGGTGCACAATATACATGAACTACAACTACACTGTGCTAGAAATTATTTTTTTTGCAAAAGTTCAGAGGGACGGAATTTGAAAGAAGGATGGGGGGGGGGGGGGGGGGGGGGGGGGTGTGTGTCATTTGAAGAAGTATAGAAAGCAAACTTGACAAAATGCAGTCAAAATCAGATTTTCTGAGCCAGAAGTTTGACTAACAGTTCAACATAACTGGTGACATGATGAAATACACTGGGGTGTAGAGTTGCTGGGCTGATGCACCAGGACACCAAGTGGTCAAAATCTATCTACACCTCTCTGGTCACACTAGAAACAGGTTCCAATCGGGGGCCCAGCCAACACAGATTGTAACGATGTCACATGTGTATCTACCTGAGAAGCGAGGAACTGACAGTCTGAACACAGACAGTCTAGATCTGTAAAATGGATGTGCATACACAACTTCTACAACATGACTAAAGTCCAAAAGTTTACAAACTACCACAACATTCAACCTGAGTTTACTGCCAATGAAAGCTAAGAAGATGAAGACGTGTGCATTTACAAGAACCTAATGTATATGAGTTTTCTAGACATTTCCAAACTATTCCTTCAAACTACAAGATTCGTTTTACAGGCTTTTAATCAATTTATAATTCTGCAGCGGTGAATATAACTGATCTTTCAGACGTTATATGTACACCTTGATATTGATCAAAAACTAACCTTTGATGTTGTTATCTGTTCCACTTCCAGAGCGTAGCTCAGCAGTGGTGTGGCAGGAAAGTGTTTCTGAGCATACTCTTTCAAGATAACCACTCTCATGTCTGGATTATTGAGCTGTAAACAAATGTGTTCTCACAATCACTGCTCACACAAAATACACATCATAGTTTGCTCATTACTAGAACAAAAAATTGCCCTTAAAGATGAAAAAAAAAGCAGTTGTGCAATAGTCAATCAAATTCAATGTCACCAAAGCTTGTTCACATTACTTTCATGTTATCAACATATACGGCTGATATATAACATAAAACAACCCATAACAATGCATTACTAGGTTGTTGGATGTGCTTTGAGATTTAGTGTATATAGAAAATGATTCTGTGATTCAATTGTTAAAAAAAATATAAAAAGAACTTCTAAAATGGAGTGACAGTTGAATTTTTCATTACAAATTTCTTGCATGTTAAGCAAGTTTACAGGCAGGCAGATATACTTTTTCAAACACACTCATAAAGCAGGTGAGAAGAGTGAGTGATGAAGAGGGGCAAAGGAAGAGATAAAGAAACAGTAAAAATATACAATGAATTTACTTTCTACCACACAATGAAATGTAACAAATCATGAGAACAATATTTTCACTGATCAACCCTTTCAAATTAGTGATCTGGGTAAAAAAGAAGAAAAAAAAAACCAAAGCCAATACTCTGGAATTCCTAGTGTAAAAATTCTTAGAAAAATTGCAATTTCACATCTCTCTCTCTCTCTCTCTGGCAGATGTACCCAAACACATAATCAACCTATCATCCAAAATACACACAAATACTAGTCAGAAAAGAAAAAATATCAATAAAAACAAACGCAGCATAGAATCAACTGCCGTGCATCTCTTGGGGCCTGTAAACTTATTATAGCAGGACACTTACTTGACCCTGTGACCCAGTAACCACAGCAGCCAATTAAAAAAAAATAACATAGGAATTTTGATAAAGTCAAACTTTTTTTTTAAAAAGAACCCCTTCTCCCCCCCCCCCTCTACCCAAAATGATTCTTCCTCTTCGTCTTCAGCGTTCTGAGCCATTGAGGTTTATTGCTGCAGATATCACCCGCCTCCACTCCTCTCTGGTCAACCTTCTCTTTCCAGTTGGTGACACTGCAGGTCTTTCTGGACTTTATCTCTCCATCGTCTTCTTGGTCTGCCTCCTGGTTCAAATATTCAGCTCCCTTGTGTATAGTTTTTACCTCTGTGTCATTGACATTCTCTTAATATGCCTTGACATGATGAACGTGTGTGAAGACTCAATGAATTGTTATCAAGGCATCTTGTAGACATTATATATGAGTTTGGAAAGCGGTTATTTCTGGGAGAAATGGTACCAACTGGAAGTGTTGGTTTTGTAGCTTGTGAGGGTGAATGCGTTAAAATACAGAGTAGTCAGTGCGTAGATAAAAACATACAAGCAAGAAGAGGGAAAACTGAGGATTCAAGAAAGAAAAAATATTACTGATTTGACTCTGTGTCCAATTCCCATGATAAGGGTTCCCTTCTTGCGCATTTCATTGACAAACTCCATAGGTATTTGTCCACTGTCAAATGCGGTGCTGAACTGTCTGGCTGCTGCATCTAATGCTCCCCCAAACCTGTCGCCCTGGAAACAAATAATAATAGTACAACTGAAGTTTTATCTGCACATTTATCTGATTTTTGCAAATGTGAAAATATATAAGCTTCTAATGTACTGAAAAATGTATACAAAAATAATGGAATCCACTTCTGGATTTATTTGTTTAGGGATGTGTTGATGAAAAATGCAAGTGTACCCCACATACTATAATAAACACTCATGCAATATCAAAGCGCTATAACCAGCTTAATGTCTACGATCACCTGAACAGTATGATCACTGCCAAGAAGGAAAGCAACGGCAAACTACCTTTTTCAAGATGTCAAGAAAAGTCATGATTTTACAATTAGATAGTGGACAGAAAGAATAAATGGACTCAAGAACTTGGTGATGATGGGAAAGACTGACAGAAAATAGCAAGGAAAGGATAAGAAATAAGTACCTGTATGGCTTGATTTATGAATAGGGCAAACAAGAGCAATGATCCGGTGATCATATGTGATGGAAAAAATGAATGCCTACATTTACCAGAAGGGCACATATTATACAGTTCTGAAGACTCATCAGAATTTACCTATTTCCAGTTACCCTAAAATTTATAGATTAATAAAAAGAGTAGGCTGCTGCCCTAGAAGAAATTTCCAAATAAGAAAAGAAGCAAATAAGAAAAAAAGATGACAGCTTGTGTAATTCTTCTAAACATACAGTAAGATCCTCACCAGTGCTACAGACCTGATGCATTGTGCTGAGTTTAATTGACAATTATAATCTGAGGAGGATACCGGGGCACTCAGGGAGATAATCTATGGAAGGAGACTGCCGCACTTATGGACACATCAAAGGAAAATAACTCTTTACAAACAAATAAAAACAGCACTAACATACTATTTCTAGATCACCTCAGACACAAACAACTGTAAACCAACCAGAAAGGATGAAAGAACAAGCATAAAAAGAACAAACTGAAGTAACTTACAATGGTGAGTAAACCAGATGTTAGTGAGGAGATGAGATCTTTGCCTGCTCTGGCACAAACAATGGTGTTGTGAGCTCCTGACACTGCAGGCCCATGATCCGCCGTCACCATCAAGCACATCTCAATGAATTTTGTTGCATACCGCGGCAACCTGTTGAAAAGTTTATTACAACACTGGTATCATCTACGCCTGCAGAAACATTTAGGACTGACTGACAAAGATTATAATAACTTAAAAAAAACACAGCATATGTGTGGTGGTGATGTTGAAAGACTTTATGATGTCATAATTTCCCATCACCATTAGTGTGGTTACCTGACAACCGGCCCAGAGGGATCAAATAAGAGTCACCCTATACATTAAACATTTTTGTTTAAACCAAAAAGAGGTCAGTCAATTAATTATCTGCTGCATTCATGTTTACAGATTATTCCTCTTATTCCTTATTAAAATTTTGCAAGTCCGACTCTCGGCACAACTTTCAAAACCAATGCAAGACAAAGTTGGCAGGGCACATGATGATGATGATGATATTGATCACACTAACCTTCTCTGAAACCACAGCAGACTGAGGACACCCCCTATGCCCATGTCCTCCTTGAAGATGTCTGTAATGGGGATACCAGCATACAGTAGTTCCTGTCCTCTCTCATCACAGATGCTGGTCATGAATGAAGCTGGCTTTCTGATCAGTCCCAGCTCCTGAGAAATAACAAATGTGTGATTTTTTCTCTCTCTCAACTAAGAACAAATTATGCTAACTCATTTCTGACATGTAAAACTCATTTCCTGACATTATATTTGAGATATGTTTCTTCCCTCACTGAGACTAGATCATCATCATGTGCCCTGCTAACTGGCGTAGGCGCTCATGCGTCTCCACAGATGATGATCCCCGGTTGCCTGGAACAGCTCTCTTGATAATATTCCTCCATGCTATCGTTTCAGCCCATCCAGCATCATCTCTCTTGGTCTGCCTCTACCACTTTTTCCACTGATCTTTCCAGCTGTCACGATATTCTCCAATGTCTCTTTTCTCATTATGTGGCCAAAGAACAATGTCTGTCTAGTGAGTGAGTGTGTGAGTAAGTAAGTATGAGTGTGTGCATGTGTGAGTGAGTGAGCGAGTGAGAGAGAGTGTAAGTGTGTGAGAAGTGAGTGGGGTGGGGAGTGGAGTGTGTCTGTGTGCGTGTCAGTGTGCACGAGTGTCTGTCTGCATGTATGTGGTGTGTCTGCGTGTGGTCTGTATATTTGAGACTAGATTATTATGCTAAATTAACTCCTTTTATGTGTGGAGTTTACAGCCGGTGAATGCAAAGAAGAAGGTGCTAGCCACCGACTTAAAGTAGCTCCCAAAAGTAATATAATTTATTAATATCTACTTTTTATTTATGATCAGAATACCCACACCGAGATATTCTCATTCCCGCACACAAACTAATTATGTGCTGTATTAGCTAGAAGTCACCATCAGAATTCACCCTTTGAAAGACATTATTTACTAGAACAAAAGCCAGTAAAACAATGATTCACATACCCTTGCCCAGTTGAAGTCCATAGGAACAGTCGGTGGTGCTACCTCAGGCCGAGGTACAATTGTTCCATTTGCCACAAGTTGTGAGTAAACATCACTTTAGAAAGGAAAAAAGCAAGAAATCAATTATTATTATTTTAAGAAGAAAAAACTAACAGGTGCATTAGGCTTTCAGTCAGTAACTCCTATGTCTTCTTCTTAAAGCTCACCGGTTATAAACTCCGGTGGTAAGTTCTGGTTGTTCGTCCACTTCTGGACTTTGGTCTTATTCCAGAACTTGAGTTTTGCGAGCAAACCCCTTTTACAGATCTGGCTTATTGTATGCAGTATGCAGTCTCCTGATTCCTTGCCTCTCATGCAGATACAATCAGACTTAAAACGGAAACAACCCTTAATCCTTAATAGCTGCCTTTTATGGCATGCCTGTTAGGGGGCAGCATGCTATTCATATTTTCCCCCAAAATGGGGCCACGGAACCCCCAGTGGGGGGGGGGGGGGGGGGGTCAACAACACAAATGACCCTTTTCACAAATTCTGAGAAGCCAACTTTTATATTATTGGTAGGTAACGTGACATAATATTCCAGCCACCTTTACTTCCCAGAACAAATCCCTCTCCACCCCGCTTATTTTAGCTACCAATCTAGGAAATGCAAATAAAGTTTCAAAATCAGAACTATGACCACTTGGACAGCAGGAAATCTTGCAAGACTGCATTACTAATGCTCACCTGCTAATATTTTATGTAATCTTTAATCTTAAAAAGTACCAACATATCCCTGCTGTTTGGGTTCCGGGGCCCCACTCGAGGGAGGAGGTGGGGTTAACAGAACCACTGCCCCTTAATAAGTATGTCACAAAAGGCAACTAATTAGGAGTTTTCTGAAATCATTGTCGGGAAAACAAGAATATATCCACAGCTTCCCCAACTAGGATGTCGTAGTAGACTAATTAGGGGCATCTTTCAAAGTCGAAGTACATCTGCCAAGTGACAAGGAACAACCAACCGCACACAAATAAGCCAGTAAAACAGGTGTACACACAAAACTCAGGCTCTAGCACAAAGCCACCAAAGTCCAAATGGACAAACAACCACGACTTTCTGCCGGAGCTAACAGCCGGTGAATAAAGAAGAAGAAATTTTTAAAACAAAATAAAACTGTAGACTACAAACACTGAACACTGTTAAAACCAAAGAAAACATACTGTATTGTTGTTCCCAGCTCATCAAAGCTCTTTGGCACTGTTGCCCCAGCAGCCCTGAGTGCCTCGTTTTTAGCATTAGCAGTCTCTGTATCAGCATTAGCACATGAACCAGCATGGCCAAACTGAACCTAACAATGACAGTAAACACAATGGAAACAGGATAAGTGGTGCCAATACTCACAGCTCATGTACAGTACGTCTCTAAATATTAGAAAACTACAACTCTGCATGGTTGAAAATATATATGGCACACAATTGTCATCCATGTGGGTTGTTATGTCACATAGAACTTGTAGTCTTCTTCCATTTCTTTCTATCCTGTGCAATTGTTTCAATATCATGAATGGAATTCAGAGAAGCACCTATGACATCTTTCTCCAATGTTCGCCTTAAATGATACTTCTGGATGGCCTCCCTTCCTCAATCGATTTGTTTCTCCTGTAAGTACCTGTTTGGTGATACTTCTCCTCAGGATGTACCCAATTTATCACCACCTACTTTGTCTTATAAATACTGTACCAGTGATGGTCCCAATTTATCACCACCTACTTTGTCTTATAAATACTGTACCAGTAATGGTCCCAATTTATCACCACCTACTTTGTCTTATAAATACTGTACCAGTAATGGTCCAAACATGTTTCTTATTCCTTTATCTGTCTTGAATTCATTCCATTAATTAATCATCCTCAATTTACTTGGGCGTTTATTTATGCATTCAACTTTAATGTGAAACAAAATACTGATTTAAAATATTATAAGGCTAAAATATTTTTTTAATTGTTTAGAAAGCACTGTATATGGTAACACAAACAAAAGAAGTGTTCATGTCCTTTTCTGGACAACTTCAAACCAACTTCAGCATTTACTGACAGTTTGTGGTTTTACCAGTCAAATTAGTTTGCCAATATAAAAGTAAGCAGGATGAGGTGCATGGTCAGTTTCTTGTGGGTTACATTTACTTCCCAGAAATCTGCTGGTGCCCGTTAAGTTGACTCAAGTTAGTGAAACAAATCCCCGCCTTAATGGGAAATTTAAACACTTGGCCAGCATACTTTTCTTATTGTTCTTGATGTTTAAAGAAATATGACATTTAATGGACACCTATAAAAAGCATGCATTTTTAGTTGTTGCCAAAGAAACCAGGTGGTATTAAATACCTTCCTGCTTAGCTATTTCAAATTCTACAAAACTGCTTATTACATACACAATTTATATCTATTCTATTTCCTTCTGTTTATAAGGCATTCATAAGTGATCTCCACAGCTGCCAGTCTGCTGATTTTCAGCCCATAGTATACCATGTCATTTATTATTCCTTCATTACCATTTCCACCGTTCTCATTTCTTCCACATTTTTTTCCCATCTTCCAACTACTACAGAATTATGATTTAGTATAAAATTCACATTTGTGTGTGTTTATGTCACTTATTGAACCCTCTAGTTACTTTAGCCAACAGAGCTCATATTAGAAAAAAAAAACATCTGTGGCAGGATATCATCATCATCACGTAGCAGGTCCTTTGCAGAACGTCGCTCTCATCACAGTCTGTCTGAAAGAAACTCGGTCTCTCACCAGTTCTCCCGCCTCATGAACTTTCACACTCAAAGAGTCACTTATATCCTGTGCCCATCCTCGTGTCGGTCGGACCCTGCCCCTCCTTCCTGGTACCATGCCTTCTGCTATAATTTTTTCCAATCCGTCGTTGCGCTTGATATGACCAAAATATTTCAGCTTTCGAGAAAGGATGCTGTTTATTAGCCAATCTTCCTTGATGTTCAGATCTTTTAAGATGTCAATATTTCTCATCTTCTTTGTCCAAGATATTCTGAGAATCTTTCTATAGCATTTCAGCTCAAAAGCCCCTATTCTCTTTCTTAAGAGACTGAGAGATAGTCCACGACTCACATCCGTATGTAGCCACAGGGAAGATGCATGCTCTCAAAATTCTAATTTTTATCTCCTTGCTGGTGCTTAACCATAGACTTTTAAGGCTGTTCAATCTTTGCATTGCTATGGCCATCCTCCTTTTAATTTCTGTCGAACAGTCTCCATTGTTGTTTATTATAGAGCCTAGATATTCAAAGATTGTGACATTTTCAACTTCTTCATCATTTATTGTTATTTTTTGGCAGGATATACGCAGTGTAAATATGAAATACTGATTCTAACCTCTGAAGTGAACATCTTGGCACAAGTACCAATGCACCAGGCAATCACAGGCTTGTTTACTGTTCCATTTTTCATAGCATCCACGAGCTGATACTCTTCCACACCACCAACCTGAACAAAATCAGACAAGTCATTTCACAGGACAATTAAAAACAAAACACCTAAACAAACTATAATTAAAAGCTTCAGCCTAATTAGTCTATATAAAAGAAGACAATCCCTGTGTGGGTTCTGGGGCCCTATTGTGGGGAAACAAGAATAGCCCCACTGCATCTACCCAAAAGGCAGGTCGTAATTGTCGACTGACTGGGAGCTTACTTTGAAGTTTAAGTGCCTCTGCCTGAGAGGCAAGGAACCAAGTGTCTGCACACAAATGAGTCAGATCTGTTGAATGGATGTGCACGCACCATTTAGGTTCTGGAACAGGACTAAAGTCAAGAATTGGACAAACACTCAGAACCTTCCGACAAAGTTTACAGCTGGTGAACAAGAAGAAGACAAAGAATAGAAGGCAAGAGCAGCAGAAGCAGTTCATGTTCAACTGTTTGGCAATAGACTCTGTATTTAGGTTACGAACTGGATACAACAGACTCCGCAGCCGTTTGTACAGGAAATTTAAGACTGGGGACTCTGCATAAGTCAACAGTAACTACAGAATACTTAACACATGCTCTCTACATGAGTAGAGGGATCCCAAGTCTGGCCAGCTGGCTTTCCGGTGGAAACCAAGCATCACATCAAGCCTACACAGAGACCTTATCTAAGAAAAAACTGGCAGGGAGAACAAAAAGAAAAAGAACACTTTGGCATCACTGCATATAGGAACACAACAGAGCCGGACTTTTTTTAAAAATGGCTTTCACTCCCAGGTCGACCAGGCCTTGAGTGGGTACCAGGTGCAGTCCTGGTAAGTAAAGGCAGCTGGCGTGATGCTGACTACATCCCCTACTAAGTGCAGATAGGTCTATAAAAATATAGGCCTTGCCCTATATTCCCAATAAGCCTGAAGGCATGGAAAAGGGATTTCACTGTATGGAAATTAAAACACTTTCATAGGAGCTAAGACTGTGTTTCTAAGCAGCAATATTCATTACTGTAATTCTATTTCACCATATGGAAATTAATATCATTTTAACATCAACTGTAAGATTATTTTATGTGCAGCAACACTTACTTCTCCAAGTAGAACAATCATCTTGACTTCTGGGTTGGCCTGATATCTGAGTATGTGGTCCATGAAAGTTGAGCCAGGATACCTATCAGAAACAGGATGTTCATATATAAGAATGAGCAATTACCCTCTGCACTATTAATCTCAGAAAATCTCTGTGTGGGAGATGTTTTTCCCTCCTCTTTTTAACACACATTCTGTTGTCAATTTCAATGACATTTAGCTCTTCTACGTTTAATTTGTTCTTAATCTGATTCTTGCTTGGCAAGATGATCTGCTCTTTTATCATCATAAATATCATAATGTGATGGAGAGATAATGTACAATCATGAAAAGGTCACTTACATTCTGGAGTGTTTGAAATGCTGACCTTTATCATCTCCATAAGAAATCTTCATGGCAATAGGGGTAAACTGCTTGCCTTATGCTCTGAAAGCTGTGTGGGTTCAGATTTGGACTTCTCCAGGTTTCAGAGATCCCTGGGAGTCATTGCTAGAGCTACAGAATTCACCCGATACACTTGGTGAGATAGACTGCGCCATAATAAAAAGAAACTCCACAGTGGAGCATGTACAGCAGGAGTCTACCAATCATCCGTAGAAGTTATCTCGTCGACAAATGTTTCGGCCCACGAGCTCCTAGACATTTTCAGAGAGTGGACCCACCTGAGTTCATGGAGCTCAGGGTTGATCTGCTCCTGCTGCAACGTATTACCGGATGTTCTTGGACAGGGACAATACGAAATTGGTGACTGTGCAACGGGTACTGTGAGATTCGAAGTTTTCATAGTCGCTGCGGTAGCATGATTAGAGCAGTCAGCATACCTGGACGACCAAGTGGCAAGCTTACGGTTGGTTTATCGGACACATGTTAGACTTTTTTGGCAGAAGGCAGTGGGACACCGGCAGACAATTCAGACACGATTGACTTTAAGAGATAAGACTTTCTTCTCCACTATATACCTGGACCAGCTCACCGAGGCCCGTCCCCCACGACGTTCCATTGTGTCCAGAGCCAGCTTGAGGCCCTCTCCGCAGCCTCGCCCAGTTGTTTAAGTGATCGTTTGCGCTCATTTCCTTGCAAGCCCAGCTGTTTTATCACATTGTACATAGAAGTGGAAACGAGACCTCTTGTGCCTACCTCGACGGCGAAGATTCTTACTGTGTACGCCATAAAGATAAAACCTTGTGCAACGAAGCCCATTCTCTTATCTTCAGGCTCAGTGAAGAGTATTCTGGTATAAATTAAGTTATAGTCAATAAAAGTGCTCACGGTTACATTTACTGATTAAAACCCAGACTGTCCTGTGTAATTTATCGTATTTCATTTTTCTATGTATCTTCTTCTTCTTCACCAGTTGTAAACTCTGGCAGAAAATTTTAAGACAACATTTTTCCTAACATTTATAAGTTTAAAATTAGGGGCTGTCTTATTTACGGAATATGTTTCAAATATTTATTTCTTTAAACTTAAAAAAAATTAATAGAGGCTGTCATATACACAGAAAAACACTATATTTGTATTCCCATAACAGAAATGTATACTCTCTAAACAAACAGATACATACCTGTCACCACCGATTGCTATGCCCTCATATACACCATCAGCATTGAGAGCAATAATGTTGTTCAGCTCATTGGACATACCACCTGATCTGGACACATAGGCCACACTGGAACATACATAAGTACAAACAATATCAAATTTCAGCTATGACAAAATGATCATAATCATCATCATTATCAACTTACTGTGCCCTTTATACTCACACAAGGCCGCAGTCGATTGCTCTAATCCGTTATACCCTGCCCAATCTTTTCAATATCACGGATGGAATATCTTTTCAATATCATGGATGGAATATCTTTTCAATATCACGGATGGAATATCTTTTCAATACCACTGATGGAATATCTTTTCAAAATCATGGATGGAATATCTTTTCAATATCACAGATGGAATATCTTTTCAATATCTTGGATGGAATATCTTTTCAATATCACTGATGGAATATCTTTTCAATATCATGGATGGAATATCTTTTCAATATCACGGATGGAATATCTTTTCAATATCCCTGATGGAATATCTTTTCAAAATCATGGATGGAATATCTTTTCAAAATCATGGATGGAATATCTTTTCAATACCGCGGATGGAATATCTTTTCAATATCATGGATGGAATATCTTTTCAATACCACCGATGGAGTATCTTTTCAATATCATGGATGGAATATCTTTTCAATACCACCGATGGAGTATCTTTTCAATATCACAGATGAAATCCAGTCAGTCACCTCTGGCTACTCTCAACATTTGTCACAGTTTCTCTCACTTCCTCCATTTATCTGTTTTCATGGCGCCTGCTGGGCGTTCTAAAACTGTGAATTCCGTTGCAATGTAATAAAAATATAACGATCTAAAAACAACTATATATCCTCTTCCCCTTCTCTTGTGACTTGCAAGGATATGGCGCCAGTTAGGATCACACTGATTATTCTTCTTCTTCTTCTTTCGTTCGCAAGAAATAAATTATCTATATCTGCAAAGCTGTCTCTAGTATGAATTTCACTGTCTTTTGTAATTCACTAAGCGGCCCGTAAAGTTTGACTTCCACAAGTGTCTCTTTTGGCCAAAGGTTTTGCCTGAAAGCGCTGAATCTGGGACAGTCTTGAAGGACGTGATCTGTTGTTTCAGGTGCCAGTCCACAAGTACACATGGCTGATTGGCCAATCTTAAATTTGTTGTACATGTGGGCGCGAAGTCGATTGTGCCCTGTTCTAAGGCGAAGGATAATGACTTGCTCTGGTCTGTCCATAATATGGTAATCATCTTGTGCCAGTTTCGGTGGCATTCTGATTGATTTGATCATTCTCTTCTTCTGTTGATAAGAGACTGGTATGTCAGGTTGTTCTTCAGTTGCACCTTCCTTAGCTAGTTGATCAGCTTTTTCGTTTCCGGGAACTCCACAGTGGGAAGGTATCCACTGCATTACTAATTTACAGCGGTTGCCTAGTTCGGATAATAGTGACCGTATGCTTGGTAATTTTCCAGACTGGAGTGACTGAAGTACTGCTTTTGCATCTGTCAGGAATACCACTGGTTGTGAAAAATACCCTGTATTTAGTAGTTTCTCTACCGCTATCTTGATGGCTTGAACTTCTGCATCATAGTTGTGACAGTGCTTTCCTGTTGGTAATTTAGCTGTATCCCTGGTATTATTAGGATACTCAATGTACACTCCCGCACCTCCGTTTCTGACTGCGCTTTCTGCTGACCCATCTGTGTAAACACGGACCCAAAGGTTCTGCGGGTATTCATCATCAAGTAGACTGAGGGTGGCTGTTTTGCGCTGCACACTGTTTTGTTCTTCCTTGTCAAATACCCCTTTCACTTCAGTCTTGATGTGTATTGGAAACTTATACTCCTCTCTCCAGGGGGTCCGTTCTGGGACAGCATTTAAGGATCTATCAGTTGCAGGTAAATCAGTTGTTTGTCTGCCGAGCCGTTTTGCCTGGTGGATAAAACTACTTCTCTTTAGTCGTCCCAAAGCTAAATTTTTGAATCTTTCATTCATAGGGTGACTGGGCATACTAAGAAACTTTTCTGCTTGTAAAAGCATCTTGGTGTCTCTGCGTTCACTCAGTGCTTGGGTCATCCCCATTTTCTCCATCACAGCTATAGGTGTTGATTTCATACTGCCTGTGGTAACTCTGAGTGCTTGATTTTGCACTTTGTCTAATTCTTGCAATGTAGTTTTTGATGCCGAACTCCATGCTGTTGATCCGTATTCAAGATGTGGTCGAACACTTTGTTGGTAAACTTTTCTAAGTATTTTCCCGCTAGCACCCCATGTGGTTCCACTTAGTTTTCTCAGAATGGCTACCCTCCTTCTGGCTTTGGTTGCTGCCTTGTTGATGTGTTTTCTCCATGTTAATCTATCATCAAACGTTACGCCGAGGTATGTGGGCTCCTTATCCTCTCTCAGGGGTACTCCATTTATGTGCATGACACCTGATTTTTGTTTAGGAGAAAGGGTAAATAGGGTGGTGCTGCATTTGCCTATGTTGATGCTGACACACCATTTGTCGGCCCAATCAGCCATTGCATCTATGGCTCTTTGTAGCAATTTGGTGGCCACTGTCGCATTTTCATTTGTACACCAGAGTACCAAGTCATCAGCATACATTGCAGCTTTACTTCCATGGGGTAGTACAGAAACCAGGTCATTGATTTAGACTAGAAAGAGTGTGGGGGACAGGACACCTCCTTGTGGCGCAGCAAAATTTCCTTACTCTTAAGTCCATCTATCTGCACTCGGGATCTTCTGTTATACAAGTATGCTTTCACCCATTTGTACATACTCCCATTCACCCTGCAGTCTCTCAGTTTGTTCAGTAGACCTTCTTTCCAAACCTTTTCAAATCTTTTCTTTAGATCTATCCATGCCGTTAGCACTAGCTTCTTTTCCTTGAAGGCATCCTCAATTTCTCGTGAAAGGTAAGTTGTCTGGTCTTCTGTGGAGTAGCACTGTCTAAATCCTGCCTGCTGCGGCATGAAAATGTTTTCACTTTCCAAGTACAACTGGAGTCTAAGGTTGACAAAACGTTCCATTGTTTTACAGAGGCAGCTGGTAAGACTGATCGGTCTGTAGCTGGAGGCATCGGAACTGTCCTTTCCTGGTTTAAGCAGAGGTATTGTAATTGCTTCTCTCCATATCTGGGGAACTTTGCAACTGGTTTAACATTGATTAAAGATCTGTAGCAGCTTTATTTTGGCGGTTGTTCCAAGGTTCTTGATCATTTCGTTGGTGGTGATTCCATCAGTTCCAGGTGATTTTCCCATTCTCAGCTTTGATATTGCTAACTCTAACTCGCTGGATGTAAATGCTGCCACCAGTGCCTCAGGAATTATTTCTTTTTGTCTTGTATGTTGTTTGTTTTCTTGAACCTCTCGCTGTTTCTCTGGGCTGACATTAATGTTGCTGTCTTCTGCAAAGGAATCTGCAAAGTGGTCAGCTGCCTGTTTTCTTGTTAGGATGGCTCCCTCTTTGCATAGTGCAATATTACCATTTCTTCCTGTATTCTCATCATTAATTTGCTTAATTAACCTCCACAACTTCCTTGTGTCTCTTTCGAAGTTTAGAGACTTTGTCTTTTCCTGCCAGCTTCTCCGTCTAGCCTGCAGTTTGGCTCTTTGAAATTTGGATTTTAAATGTTGGTAGTTGTTAAACTGCTCTTGACAAGGTCTGGTCTCAGCTTGTTTTCTTTCTGTTTCCATATTGTTGTGCAGTTGCTCCAGATCGCAATTCCAGTACGGTTTGTATTGTTTACGCGCACCTCTTGGAACTGCTTCTAGGGCTGCCTGCAGTATGTGTTTGCTCAACTCTTGGACTACTTTTTCTACGTCGTTATCTGTGTTCAGATTTTCCAGCAGAACATTTGTGCGAAGCTGATACAACTTCCAGTCTGCCTTCTTAAAATTCCACCTTGGCAGTGTGCTGCTCTCTCTTATAGACTGGCTTTCGATAGTTAGAAAGACTGGCCGGTGGTCACTGCCTCCTAGTTGCTTCCCAACAGTTCTGGTAACATTCAGTTCCAAGTCTGCTGAGTGAAAGGCTAGGTCTGGTGTCGAGGTGGTATGCCATGCTCTAGAGTAGAAGGTTGGTGGGTCGGTTGGCTTATTAACGAGGATGAACCTATTCTCATCCTGCCAGTCCTCTAGTTTCTCTCCTCTCTGGTCTAAATGATCATAGCCCCAACTTTGCGAATGGCTATTAAAATCCCCACAAATGATCATTTTTTCATTTATTGGTAATGTATCCAGTGCCTGAGGGCGGTCGCTCGGACAGTAATAGTTGGTCAGATGTAAATCTGTATTTTCTAACTTGAGCTCAAGAGTTTGATACTCAGCACCTTCCATGTATGTTTCGATCCGGCCCGCAAGGATGTTATTTTTGACCAGGGTAAGAATTCCACCTTTTCTCCTGTCTTTGCGGTCAGATCGAAAACACTGGTAGCCTCTGATCTTAAAGGCCATATCTTGTTTGAGATACGTCTCTTGTAGGCAGCATACATGTATCTTCTCTTCGTTCAAGACGTTTTCTAATTCTAATTTCTTAGTATGTACTCCCTCCGCGTTCCAGTGCATTATTTTAAGGCTAGCTGTATTTTCTGCTTTTCTGGTTCTACGGGGCATTAGGGGGAGGCTTCGAGTATTTGAAGCTGGACTCTTTCTTCTTGTCGTAGGCCGGTAAATCGAACCACGTGTACGTGAGTGGGTCACATGGTGAAAATCAAACTTATTTGCAGATATAGAAATATTCCCTGTTGCGTTTGTGCGTGGCATCCTGATTGCTGTGGTGCGCCTCCTGGCTGGTTGCCTCCGACTTCAGCACCTTGTTTTGCTAGAGTAGACTGGGGTCTTACTCGTGGACTCCCATGTTTATAATGGGAGCGTGGCTCCTACGCGGTTACATTATCGGAATTAGGACACGGCCGCCGCCGTGGCTATTTTGTGGAAATAATTCCGTTATAACACCCCTAAACCACATAATACTTGTATCCACAAACAAGAGAATATCCATCGTCAATGAATTAGTAATAATCGCACTCTGTTATCAAAAGAAAAACACAGATTAAGTGAAAATTGTAGAATAAAATCGCGTGTCGCCGCAAACACGTCTTCACGCTGCCATTCGCACTGATTATAATCCATGGTACATGTATATTATGTGTGTGTGGTACTTTAACCAACATTTTAAATTACAATGATCGATTCCTAAGTTGTAAATGAGTTAGACCCAACACTGATGCAGACTTATTGGATTCTGCAAAGAACCTCCTACACCAGTGTTTCCCAAACTTTTCTTGGTCACGGCGCATTTTTTTCTTTAAAAAATTTACACGGGGCCCTAACCTCAGTAAAAGTATGACTGTTCGTGTCTTGGTTAAATTAATTATGAAGCTTTTACAATATTTTGCGGCGCCCCTGTGAAGAGGTCGCAGCTGCCCCGGGCGCTGCGCTTCATAGTTTGGGAATCACTGCCCTACACAATGATGAGGTCTCAATGTTGAGGAGGATCGTTCCAAATTAGCTAAGATTTCAGAACCCCTCTTTGCCATGGGGCCAATACTTTAAAGTGCAAATGAAAAACTTATAATTTAAACAATTACAATACAATCGCAAAAATCACTGCATTCTAAAACTAAGAGATGTGTGTGAACGCCCGTGAGTGTGTAGGTGGGGGGGGGGGGGGGGGGGGGGGGAATATTATTATCAACATGTTCCACACCAATAAGTAAACAGTGTCATGTTTCACGATCCCACACTATCACCAGAATCATGTGGACAGGACAGTGTTCTTGTCTCGCCCCATCCACATGGTCAAGCTTTATCAGACATTTACTTTTATTCTCTTTCCATCAACCTTGCCAGTCATCACAAAACTATATAATTGATCCCTTACATTTGTTTTGCAGGTATTTGTTGCCCTCAATAGTTTTCAAAAGCCTCCCCTCCCCCCCCCCCCCCCCACCCACACCACAACATGAGTATTCCCCACCATACAAGAAGACTTCCATAAATGCCGAGCCAATAAATCAAGAGAATGTGACCAGATTTTCAGCTTCTTCAGCCCACCTGATTAGGAAACTGTATGTGTGAATGTGCCCCATCTCAGATAATAAAAGTACTGAAGTGAACTAAGAGATTACCTGCCAGGTCTGTATAATTTGGATGCCAGAATGTTGTCTAGCATGCCACCAGTGTTGCCAATCTTGAAACAGCCAGGCTTCACACCACCCACCTTGGGATAGGAAAATACAGCATATACCGAACATTCATCACACAGAATTATCTTCTCACCTTTATAAAACCTTATAAAATTACTGGTTTTTCCAAGTAGAGATCTATACGACTAAAATATTTGTTTGTAAATAACTTATTCTAAAATAAAAGTGTAGTCAAAACCGGACTGAAACAACCTCCGCTATTACTACTTGTAACAATGTTTTGAAAATGACACACAAAAATTAACTTCTGACCAAAATGGCTGATAGCCAGGTTACGCGGTGAAAAGTTGTCTTCAACTAGGTTTTGCTGTTGCAAATTCCCCATTCTGGACTTAAAGTCTAAAGGTTAAATCACTCAGAGTTGAGCACTTGGTATGTTTTCCTATTGTGTCTGCCACTTGTTTTTGACTGCAATAAAAGGCAGACAGCCAATTATAATGCTCAGAATGGTGTGTATTGGGGGTGCGATGCCAGCCTTTGTGATCCACCGTTTGTACCATCAGCGAGCTGCAATTCTGGTGTGGGGCCATTTAGTTTTGGTCAGACGATCGATTGCCTGCTCACCGTAAACGACCATTACCGTCAAAATGAAGGTAGAGAAAAACAAGCCAAATGGCCAAAGTTAGCCTAACTGCCAAAAAAATCACAGGTTTTCCAGAACAGTTCATTTTATTTTTTATCCTCCTATTACAAGGGGCAAACTTCAAGGGTAATCGTTCTGTTCAAGGATGAATTCAGCCCTTCCATGGCACTACTGCCATTTAAGGCCTACGATGAACCCTGGGTGGCACAGCTGACAGTTGTCTTATGCAATTTTAATTTGTGTGTGCGAGATAAAAAATTTGCTGGAACTGATAACTGACAGTCAAGGACATTTTGTGTGATTTCCACTAGCACAGGTATGGGGCAACCCAACCCATCTGCAGTGCAGGCGGAACAACTAAACAACTAACTTTAACAATTGTGCCCCCTCCCGCCCCCCTTTCCCAAAAAAAATCTGATATAGCACTAGTAACTTACTGTGGCTGGACCAATTATTGTCACACCCTTTGCATTTGCAACTTTAATGAGATGACGGGTCAGATTCTCTGGAATGCCCTCAGCAATGATAGAGATGGAACGAATCTGAAATAAACCAAAGTATCATAAGGAGATTTTTTTAAATTTACAGATGCAAGCATATTATCAATGTGTGTATATGAGTGGACAATAATGCTCCATGCAACCAATGGCAATACCCCCAAAAAAAAAAAAAAAAGCTTGTAAGCTTTATTTCCCCTGTAAACAATATCCTTTTAACTTACAAACTCCAGGAAATCAAGAGGTGAAGTTAAGATGCTGGTGTTAGGACACACGTTGAGAACACTGGATAACAATATAATCAGAATGTCTTCACACTAGAATCTACACAGAAATAAAGGCAGACCAAAAAATACATGATGAAAAGAACTAAAGAGAAGTTAGAAAGTCATGGGTCCAGCTGCAAGCGATAGCAAAAGATAGGACCACTTAGCGTAAGCTGATAGAAGGCTTCACTGGGGGGAAAGAATGAAGAAGAATATATTTTACAATTCATGTTCCATGTTCTAAATTAATTTTCTCCAATCCCAAATTATCAGTTTTTTTTAACATTTTATCTCCTAATATAGCACTGGCCGTTAATCAACAAACACCAAGCCTTTTCTTGACTTGTTCAATGATTCCTTGGATCCTGCAGCTAAAGCATTCTATGGGATGAGTAAGCCAATCTCACAACAACCCTCCTCAGTCACCCTTTTCAAAATGCAGGCTACGGATGTCATTATTTCTCTTCCTGTAAGTACCCTGGTAACTTCTTTTTCTTCCATGTGTTCACAGGCTGTGAACTCCAGAGGAAAGTTCTGGCTGGTCATCCACCTCTGGACTTCAGTCTTGCTTCCAGAACTTGAGTTTTGTATGCATATCTGTTTTACAGATCAGGCTTATTTATACGCAGACAGTTTGTTCCTCGCCTCTCAGGCAATGTCCTTTGACCGAAAGAAACAACTAATTAGTCAACTTTTACAAAATGCTTGTTGGGAGGCAGTGGGTCAATCTTTTTTTTTCTACCACAATGGGACCCCGGAATGCACATTGGGAGTACCTTGATAACAAATAGCGTATCAGGGTTTAATTTCCGCTGCAGAGTTTATATTTAAAAAGCAGTTCTTGTGGTATTCCGGCACCAGTACAAAAATTGCACTGTGGAAGAGACTGCGGCTCCACCAAATAATCTTCTAAAAGACAGTAGCGGGTGAATTGCAGCCAACCTTCATAGTGGAGATGACATTCATTTATTAATCAAACATATTTTTAACAATCAGTGATGGGCGGTGATGTCTTATTTTGTTTTTATGTCTTCATAATAATAAACAACAAAAAAGACCATTCTGGTAGCTTTTGGACAGCTGTGCTAAGTCGCATCACAACAAATGACATTAGGACCATCTAATATTCCTAAGATAGTAGCAGATGCACATATCCACTGCCACCAAACTCTACTGCAAAGTTGAGACAAAAAAAAAAGTGCTCATTACCTGTGGATAGTTGAGAGTTTCAATGGTGCTGTCATAAGCAGACCTCAAAGAAGCAAAGTTGACCAAAGTATCAGCAGTAGGGTGCTTTTTCATGCAGTCATCCATATTCTTGTAAACTAAATATTTTTGAAGAAAGAAGGAAGGTGCTGTAACATCAGTTGTGTAAATTTCACCAGATATTATTCAGTATAAAAAAAAAACAGTTACTTTAGACTTAAGTAAATATTGCCCTTTTCATACCAGTGGCATATCGAGCATATGATGTTATACTTTTACGGACCAATCGGCCCTCGACGAGTGATGTGGTCAGTCTTTGCTTTACCTGGTACCCATTTTAAGCTGGGGCGACCTGGTAGCCAAGGATATTTTTGGAGAGAAAAATCAAACTACTGCAGATCTAAACCCAAGACCTTTGTGTCCGCAGGCAAGCTTCTAGCAGCTACGCCACTGCATCTCCCTTAAGTTAGGTAACAAGGTTAACATTTTTAAATTTTGTAGCAACCAATTAGGATTTCTGTGTGTATCAGATTCATGAGAGGACAAAACAATTACTAAATAACATACATAGTAATAGACTGCTAAATTGTAGAGCTTTGGGAGAGAACTAAACAAGTTCCAGTGGACTAAGAGGTGAAGAAAAGATGCTGGCATTGAATAGGAACACATTGAGAAAACCTGGGAACAATATAACTAGAATGTCTTTGCAGTGGAACTCACAGGGGCACAGAAATATAGCAAGACCAAAAAACACACAGAGAAGGGAGCAACAGAGCAAAGTTAAAAAGAGGGGGAGGATGTGGGGAGAGCTGCATGAGAAGGATAGAACAACTTGGCGTGAGTTGGTTGAGGGTCTATGCTCCATTGGGGGTTAGAAAGGCAGAAGAAGAATAGGCAGTTGAAGTAGAATGGAACTATGAAAGCATGAGAATCTCTGGAGAGAGTGAAGCGAATCACAGAGAATAAGTAAATGAGAACAAAACACTGATGCCATACTCAATATATACTTAGAAAATTTAAAGGACATCCCTCTGGAATCTTCTTCTTTTTCGCGTTCGCCGGCTGTAAACTCTGGCGGAAAGTTATGGTTATTCATCCACTTCTCGACTGCAGTCCTGTTCCAGAACCTGAGTGTTGCATGTGCATCTGTTTGACATATCTGAAAAATTTGTATGCAGACTGTTGGTTCCTTGCATCTCAGGCAGATGCACTCTGACTTCCAAGGAAGCTCCCAATTAGTCGACTCATACGACATGCTTTTGGGTAGGCAGTGGGTCTATTCTTGTTTTCATTATAATAGGGCCCCGGAACCCACACGGGGAGATACCTCTGTAATACACACAGCAATTTTGTTTGTTTGTTTTGTTTTAGTATCCAGAAGCCATGAGCCTTAGGCTCGGTATTATGAATATCGCAACTTTTCGACCTTGATTCCATTGTAAATACCGTAAATCTGGGAGAAATGTGGCTTTTCTGCCTACCCCTGGGAGTGAACCCGGACCACAAGGAGTTGCTCACCCGGTCACCGCGCAATCCGGTTTAGCCAACTACGCTAGAGAGCCGGGCCCACAAGGCAATAGAAATATTCGTTGTTTTTTGTGTGTGTGTGTGTCTTTTTCTGAGTTCACCCTCAAAAGGAAAGCTGGCACATGGCATTGTGGGTTTTAAGCAAGCCTGTAATATCTGTGCCTTTCAGCCCAAACATAATATCAGAGCTCCCCTTATCAGTTACCTTTTATGACATGCTTGTTAGGGGCAAACTGGGGATTTTTTTTTCTCTCTTCCAAAATGGCGACCTGAAGGCCACACATGGAATCAGATTTTTAAGCATACAGAGAAGGAAAGTAGACATTCGAATAAGTATAGGTCAAGATGCAAAAGGAAGTTTAAGAGAATAACAAGGATCTGCGGACTTGATATGAGATAATTCAGGGTCTGTACTCCATCAGAAGGTCAAAATGCTGAACTAAATTGTAAACAAACGGTGAGACAGAAAGAAGGAGGGGGTAACAGGGAGTGAGGAGAGAGATAACATTAAAAACAGGCAGGCACACAGGAAAGGGTTGAGACCAAATTGACACCATTTGTGTTTTGAAAACCTACCTGGAATGAGTATCTCCTTGTGGCCCCAATAAAACTTCTGCTTGTGATCACCTCTGCAGAAGACACAAAATATTAAGCATAATAATCTTTGGCAATAACCCCAAGGAACACAACCATCAAAACAACAGGTTTTTTGTTTGTTTTTTTAACTAAAAAGCTACGCAGCAGCTATTATTTTACAAAGAAATAGCAAAACAAAAATCAACCACTTTCATAAGTGATTTTACAGCACACTGAAAATGGGGTATCAGCTGGCACTGAAATACTGATTATTTTTTTCCCCCCACAAATATGGCTCTGAAGTTGACTGAGCCTCATACTCATAAACAGGGCACTGGATACTTTTCTAAATTGTATTTCTGGGAATGTATAATGGGAAGGGAAATGACAAGGCAACCAACCTCACCACTTTATGCTATTGCCTAGTATATATATATATATATATATATATATATATATATATATATATATATATATATATATATATATATATATATATATATATATATATATGAATTTCTAGAATTTTGCTCCTGGTGTATCCACCTTTGTTGAAGGGACAAGTAGACAAATAAGTAAACCACTTTTAGGCAGTGGTATAAAACAAAGAGACTGGGACTTTGCCATGTAACAGACAGCAGTGGATACATACATCCCTTGCAGCTGACCATAACCATGAGATGGGCACAATTTGAAAGCAGAGAGGGGGAAAGAGGGAGAGAAGGGGGGGGGGAGGAGAGAGAGAGAGAGAACAAACAGCAATTTTGGCTAAACATCCTTAACATGAAGCAAAGGTAGAGTAAAACCAGCAAAAAAAAACCACATAGTTCTAAAACTTCATAGATTACTTGTTTGTAAACTGTTCACAATTCATTCTTTAACTTTCTTCTTTCTTTTGTCAAAATCTGCTTGTGCCGCTAGGCGTCGCAGTCTATCAGATGATTGGCAACCGAGCCAGGGCGCGCTCAGTCGCTTCATATGCCGTGATGTTATGAAGTCTCAAGTTGTCCGTGACTCCTTCAATCCATCTTCTTCTTGGTCTTCCCCTGCCTCTTGTTGTTTCGATTTTCATGTTGTATGCTCTTGATGCTGGCATCGTTGGTTCCATTCTCATTAGGTGACCAAACCATTTCATTCTTTGCTTCTCAATAAATTTAACAATGGGTATGGTTCCAATAGTTCTTGTAATCACATCGTTTCTCACTCGATCTCTTCTGGTTTTATTCGCAGCCATTCTCAAACATCTCATTTCACAGGTGGTTAGTCTTCTCTCATGTTCTTTTGTTAATGTCCAAGTCTGACATTGATAACCTAATGTCGGTATAAAGATTGTATTTATAATTTGTCTTTTTATCTCAGCTGGGACAGCAGGGTGTTTTAAAATTGGGGCAAGCTGGTATGCGACATTGTTGGCTTGTTGGATTCTTGCTTCAATCTCTCTGTCTATTTTACCATTGGATGTAAAGATACTTCCCAGGTATTTAAATTCTTGCACTTGTTTTAGGCTGTGATTTAGAATCTTTATGTTGATGGTCTGTTGCTCTCTACTTATGCTCATGACTTCTGTCTTTTCAGTATTGATCTTCATATGATGCTTGAGACAACTGTCGTGTAGTAGGTTCATGTGGTCTTGCAGCTGTTTACTATCACTGTGAAATATGCATTGATCGTAGGCAAAGAGCAGCTCATTGAAGTCCTCCTGTTTATCGACATCTGTTGGTGTTATGTCTATTTTATTAATATTGTCCATAAATATTATGAAAAGTAAAGGTGATAATACACAACCTTGTCTTACTCCTGATGTTACTGGGAACCAGTCTGTAATGCCAGCTCTTGTTCTAATGGCGCTTTCACTTTGTTTATAAATAGCCCTAACACAATCTAAAATTGTTCCATTTATACCGTAGTTTTCAAGAACTTTCCATAATAAATTTCTGTTTACTCTATCGAAAGCTTTTTCTTGATCTATGAAAGCGATGTTCATTTGATGTCTGTGTTCTATTGTCTTTTCGCTAACTTGTCTTAAAGCAAAAATAGCGTCAGTACACCCTCTTCCTTTCCTAAATCCGACCTGTGATGGGCTCAGGATCGGTTCTACAACGGATCTAATTCGTTGTTCCAGAATTTTGGCAAACATTTTTCCTACGTGGCTTAGAAGGGAGATGCCTCTGTAATTGTTACAATCTTGCTTATTGCCTTTTCTTTTCCAAATTGGGACTATAAGAGCTCTTTGCCAGTCTATTGGTACAGTTCTTTCATTCCAGGCTTTCCTAAATATGTGGAGTAGCCAGGTGACTCCAATTTCTCCACAAGCCTGTATTGCCTCGGCTGATATTCCATCAACACCTGATGCCTTATTTTTGGGACTGCATCTGATTGCTTCTCTGACTTCTTGTTCGATTATTGTAGGCTGTTCCTCGTTTGTACATCTGGGTGTGAATGGTACTGTTTCCTCATTTCCTGTTACATTCAGAAGAGTCTGAAAATATTCTTTCCACCTTTCTCTGATCTTGCCCTCCTCATGTATGGGTTTGCCTTGACTATCATTGACATATTCAGATGGCTGGAATGGTTCATCTCTAGTCATTTTTGCAATGGTTTTGTAAAACTGTCTACTAGATTTAGCACAGATTTTGGTAAGATTTTCCCCATACATGAACCAGGATGTTTCCTTGGATTGTTTAATTTCTCTTGCAGATTGTCGCCTGGCAATTCTGTACTTGATATAATCGTCATGGGAATTCTTTAACTGACTTTGCCCAATCCCATTTTACAAAGTTTTTAAATTTCTGAATTAATGAATCAAGAATTGACATCCTTGCACTCAGGACAATCCCACAAGCGCTCCATCTCCCTCCTCAAGAGTCGATAAATTGTTCTCGTGCTTATAGTACTAGCTGTTACCTGACCTGATAAATAGTCCACCTATGTTGTCACTCCCAGGTGCTAAATACTGTCCAGAACCTCTGCTCATTCGTCACTGAATCTGCCATTCAAAGAATGAATCTGTCTATTCTGTTGCACTGTCCACTTGATCCAAGATTTCCTTTACATCAACATTATCATAAATAAAGTTTATATTTTAACATCCTTATTAGAATTATACTTTTTTTAAAAGAGTAAACAAACAGAAAAATAAATCATGGTGACTAAGAGCAAAATATAGGTGATTTAAAAACAAATTTATCTACTGAAAAAGAAAAAAAAACTTGACAAATTCTACATGGAACTTACGTGAATGGGTAAATCATAGCAACAACAGATGGCTTGGTCCTTGAGCAGACGTAATCAAAGTCCAGCATGCCCTGAACAGCTCGCTGCTGCATGCCCCATACAATGCACTCAGTGTCTCTAGTGAAAAGATTGATGTCCCTGGAGCTTGGGGTCACACCGTTCTGCTGAGCAGAGCTGGCACTGGTGGGAGAGGTTTTGCTGGGGGTGACTTTGTCCTGAGAGCCTCGTCTACTGGAACTAGGAGATGGCTAAACAAACAAAAAATATATGCATACAAATATTTCATTAAAATGATTAAATAAGACAACACTGAGTAGGGTAAAAGTTAAAATAAAAATAAAAATTTGCAAAGGACCGGTTTCCACGTCTTCAGGTATATTAAGCATATAGTGCTAGACCTAAATTTTATTGTCCCGAGTGCAATGAAGTCAGTTCTTGATTCACTAATTCCTATATCGGCACTTGGTGGGTGATGTGATCAGCATCATATCGGCCGCCTTTACCTTCCAGAACTGCACCTGGTACTCACTCAAGGCTGGGTCGACCTGGGAGCAAAGGTAATTTTCGAAAAAAGTCTTGCTAGCTTTCTTTCAACTTCTGCCTCCAGTATGGTTTTTATAAGTTATATGTCTTTTAATATGGCCAAGATATTTCACTTCTTTTGTTGCTAAACATCACTAGTAAAAGCCCTTAAAAGGACATATTTTATTATGCAGTGACAGTGCTTTTTCAACTAACTAAAAAATATGTTAGGTGTGCTGCACTGCACTCAAAAACAGGAGCGACAAATTATAACTTCTACAAACTTATGACATCACAAGCACTTGAGTGGGATACACTTAACCAACAAGCTGTACATCAACAAATGCAGTTACTAAATTAAGTAATTAGGGCAGCATATACCTTGTATCTAAAGGCAGTAACATTTTAGTATACAGAATAACATTTCTACACAAGGTAACGAAATATCAGGCACAAAAAACAGGCAATAATACAAGCAAATTTTAGAAAAATGGCAAATTGAATACATAATTTTAAAAACGTACAATCAATCTATTCTCTCATTCACAAATTTTTTTTTTTTTACATTATAGTTGAGAAATAGTAAAAATACATAAATAATTTCAACACAGTACTTCACTATGTATAAATTACAACATAGATCAGATCAATCAACTAAAATGGAAAGTGCTCTTATAATTTACAGATGTGACACTTGTTTAAAAAAAAAATATTGGAGGGTAAGTTGAAAGCAGATAAGCATTAAGATGCTCAACAAATTCTCATGAAGCCTTCGATAGGCTTGTTTAACATTGGCCAGATTTTGTAAGGCTTTTAAGGGATGAGGCAGACATCCAGTTTCATGCCAACTCTCCTTATCTGTCTATTATGACACGCGTGATAGGTTAACTTCATTACTCTCTATATGGGCCCCAGTAAACATATGCCGAAGTTCAATTCACCCTAGTTAAAATACTAGAAAAAAAATAATTTATATTGAAAACTTTTAAAAAAAAAACAGTCAAAATATTTAAAATTCAAAAAAAGTTGTAGGGATTTTTTGTAGTTTTAACGCTAAAGACTTTAATGAACAAATATACACGAATAAGTCTCAATGAACACATTAAAACACGAAGCATCTAAAGAAAAGTAGTGTGTACTAAGTGATTTCATGCAAAAACGTATGGTGATCATTTTAAGTATCTCTAATGTGAAGCTTAGATGAATGCATGAGGTAGAGCTGCTGGGTAGTTCTTTGATAGAGGATGAGTGAGGTAGAGCTGCTGGATAGTTTTTTTTTTGGTAGAGGATGAGTGAGGTAAAGTTGCTGGGTAGTTCTTTGATAGAGGATGAGTGAGGTAGAGCTGCTGGGTAGTTCTTTGGTAGAGGATATGTGAGGTAGAGCTGCTGGATAGGTTTTTTTTTGGTAGAGGATGAGTGAGGTAAAGTTGCTGGGTAGTTCTTTGATAGAGGATGAGTGAGGTAGAGCTGCTGGGTAGTTCTTTGGTAGAGAATGAGTGAGGTAGAGCTGCTGGATAGTTCTTTGGTAGAGAATGAGTGAGGTAGAGCTGCTGGGTAGTTCTTTGGTAGAGAATGAGTGAGGTAGAGCTGCTGGGTAGTTCTTTGATAGAGGATGAGTGAGGTAGAGCTGCTGGATAGTTTTTTTTTTTTTTTGGTAGAGGATGAGTGAGTAGAGCTGCTGGGTAGTTCTTTGGTAGAGAATGAGTGAGGTAGAGCTGCTGGATAGTTTTTTTTTTTTTTTTTTGGTAGAGGATGAGTGAGTAGAGCTGCTGGGCTGTTCTTTGGTAGAGGATGAGTGAGGTTAAGTTGCTGGGTAGTTCTTTGGTAGAGAATGAGTGAGGTAGAGCTGCTGGATAGTTTTTTTTTTTTTTGGTAGAGGATGAGTGAGTAGAGCTGCTGGGCTGTTCTTTGGTAGAGGATGAGTGAGGTTAAGTTGCTGGGTAGTTCTTTGGTAGAGGATAAGTGAGGTAAAGTTGCTGGGTAGTTCTTTGGTAGAGGATGAATGAGGCAGTGCCGCTGGGTAGTTTTTGGTAGAGGATGAGTGAGTAGAGCTGCTGGATAGTTCTTTGGTAGAGAATGAGTGAGGTAGAGTTGCATGTTACAGGATGTGTTAGGTAGAGTTGTGTTGTGGAGGATGAGCGTAGAGCTGGTGGGTAGTTCTTTGGTAGAGGATAAGTGAGGCAGAGTTGTTGGGTAGTTCTTACATGACTAAGGAAGCAGAGTTAAATGGTACAAGATAAGTGAGCTGAAATTGTTTAGTACAGGATGAGTGAGGTGACATTATTTGGTGCAAGATGAGTGAGGTGAAACTGATTGGTACAGGATGAGTGAAGCAAAGTTGCCTGGTAAAGGATGAAAGATAAAATTGCCTGGGACTGTATGAGAGGCAGAACTGCTTAGTTCAGTATGAATGAGGTAGAACAGCTTGGTAAAGGATGAGTGAGGAAAAACTGCTTGATACACACAAGATTCTGAACACCCAGACCACAAGAGGCATGACTCATACTACCAACTTGGCCAGAGAGAACATGCAGTCTAAAGACTCCACACAGAACACAACAGGCTGAAACACCACTTGTTTAATAAGCTCAAGAAAGGAGACACTGATGACTAACTGTGGAAAGGGTAAAATGATGACTAAACACCTGCCGCAAGAATGTCTAACAGTGAAAATTATTCTGGCTAACACTTGCTTTATTTGAGGACAAACTCTGTAGAGATGCAACAACCTCAAGCCGACTGTTGATTTCTTTAAACATATTCGTGTTGAATTTTTAAGGCATAAGAAGAAGAAAACTGTCAGGGATCCTTGGAGCTGATAGTCCCTAGAGATGCAGAGTTCATAAATCATGACATGGAAAGAAAATTAAACAGACCCATCTGTCTGCATCCTGCCACTCTGGATGTCCCTAGGTTTCTATGTGGGAAATAACATATCAAACTATATAAAACATATAAAACTGCTTGTTACAGGATGAGTGAGGTAAAACTGCTTGGTACAGGATGAGTGAGGTAGAACTGCTTGTTACAGGATGAGTGGGGTAGAACTGCTTGTTACAGCATGAGTGAGGTAAAACTGCTTGTTACAGGATGAGTGGGGTAAAACTGCTTGTTACAGGATGAGTGGGGTAGAACTGCTTGGTACAGGATGAGTGAGGTAAAACTGCTTGGTACAGGATGAATGAGGTAGAACTGCTTGTTACAGGATGAGTGAGGTAGAACTGCTTGGTACAGGGTGAGTGAGGTAAAACTGCTTGGTACAGGATGAGTGAGGTAAAATTGCTTGGTACAGGATGTGTGAGGAAGAAGAGCTTGGTACAGGATGAGTGAGGTAAAACTGCTTGGTACAGGATGAGTGAGGTAAAACTGCTTGGCACAGGATGAGTGAGGTAGAACTTGGTACAGGATGAGTAAGGTAAAACTGCTTTGTACAGGGTGAGTGAGGTAGGACTGCTTGGTACAGGATGAGTGAGGTAGAACTGCTTGGTACAGGATGAGTCAGGTAAAACTGCCAGGAACTGTAGGAGTGAAAAGAATTGCTTGGTACAGGATGAGTAAGGTAGAACTGCTTGGTACAGAAAGAGTGAGGTAAAACTGTTAGGTACTGTATGAGTGGAAAGAATTGCTTGGTACAGGATTAGTGAAGCAAACAGTCCCCAGACCTAACATATACCAGATAAGAAATGTTCACATGCCCTGGTTAGTGACACAAAACAAACATTCACAAGAACTTCCTAAGATAAACACAAAAAACTATCTTTGTCTCTCAGATCTTGATGTGAGTATTATACAATAAATATATACACTAGCGTGAATACAACTAATGTTACAACAAACATCATACATACTAAACATGCATGCAGCTACTATACACTTCTCTCGCTATAAGACAAACTTTAAAAAAAAAAAAAAAAAAGTATAATTTCAGTTTTAAAAAATCTGCAAGTATGTCACTGAAAATCTATCAAATAAAAGAAAAAAAGGGCGAAAAAAGAAGCAGTTTTAAAAAAAAAAGGGGGAGGGGGGTTTTCCAATAAAAATTGATTTTTCATTTAAGTGAAGTTTTAAATGCTGTAGAAACTGCAAATTTCATTAAAAAATTTTTTAGTGCAGTAAAGATTTTGCAAATTTCATAAAATTGTTGCCGTAACAGCTCAACTCAAAGGTAATCAACATAATTTAAGTCTGACATCAATCACTTCACCATTCACAGTACACCTTCTTAGTTATCTCACCATCTTCTACAGTGAGCAGTCTTTGCTACCTTTTTCTATACCTTGCTTGCTATGTCTTAATGTAATGCGACAATGTAACGCCTGAAGTATAGGCCATGTCAGTAATAAAAACCGAACAGAGTAACAGAATGGAAGTGAATGTAGTGCTATCTCATAAACATCGCTACAACCACGCACATCCGATTTTCAAAACTTGAATTAGCAGCTAAAGTTTAACCTTTTTTTTTTAATAATTGGATTTAAAACAGAAAATGCTATGTGCATTTAGTTAGAACTGTGGCTCAAAGGTTAGTTAGACTGTTTCACAATCTAATCTTCGACATACCATAGTACAAATTCTGCGGCACTCAATTTAGAAAAATGCTGTTCTTTTGTTTTTTAGAGACTGGTATGAGAGTCACACTGTGTAAGAGATTCAGACCTCACACTGAACAATCCCAATAGACAACAAAGAATGCAATGCAAATAACTTCCATTCTGGACACAGTATTTTTTTTTTAAATCTACGTTTGTTCATATTTCTACCTTAGCTGTTCGCTGGTCTGCAAAAAACATTATCCAGTTCAGGAGTGTAAAAAGGTTGAAGAAAACTTTCTAAATCAATGGTTCCTAATTTTTTTATTTTTTTTATTTACTTGAGGCACCCTTTTTGTTTATAATCAATTTCTATGACAGAGCTCTTAGGCCTGCAGAATCATATGTCTTAAAAATTAACGGTGTTGAGCAGTAATGTTACGGAGCAAAGTAAAAGGGGTGTAGATAGCATGAGGATATAAAATAAAGAGATATCTAAAGAACTACATAATGTCCACCTCAGATTAAAACAATTCTGGAGCTAGTGGCAGGAGAATGACCAAGCGTCCGTGTAAAATTCAATATGACAAATTTCTTTTTAGAATGTATTTTCTAATTATTTTAAATTATGATTGTACTTTTTGTTTCTTCACCTTTAATTTAATTCCGTTTTAATTTATTTTCCTGGAACGTCAATGGAAACCCTAGGAAGTGCGTGTGGGGTCCTGAGGGATTAGGGGAACACTGGGTTGGGAACCACTGGTCTAAACTAACGGCATGATGGTCAGCTCGCTTCTTTTTTATTATTCCTTTAAATTCCTTCCCGGAAATTTACAACTGACCATTATAATGCATTTATTTTTTAGGAACTATTCACCAGAGGCGCACTGGTCTGAAACAACAGCACCATTAGCAGTTCGAACACATCACTATCATGAGTGACTTTTTATGTAGAAATTTGTTAATAAATATAGCATAAAAAATATTTTATAATAAAAATGTGAAAATGAACCTTTCTCTTGAAAATTCTGAGTTTTTCCAAGTCCTGCGGATGACAGTGATCTTTAAGATTTGTTCAAGACTGACAGGATTTACCAGACAAAATTATCTATCTCTCTTCACGCTCACCAACTGTAAACTCACCGACAGAACCTGAGTACTGAGTGCACATCCAATTGACGGATCTGACTTATTTGTATGTAGACTGCTGATTCCCTGCCTCTCAGGCAGATATACTCTGACTTTGAAGGAAACCCACCAATTATTTGACTCTTACCACATGCTTATTGAGAAGGCAGTTGATCTATACTTTTTCTTCTATAATGGGGCTCCAGAACCTGCACTGGGAATTTATGAGTACAAGGCAGCCAGTCTCAACTCAATCTTCCTTAATTGCCTCTTATGGCATGTACGGTAGGTTTCAATGCAACTGTTCCTTGTATCCCTTATTAGTGACGGTTACACATACAGATGATAAAACCTACCGGATATTACAAATCTAGCCAATAAGTTTAGAACATTTTCAATTCTTATTCTGTGAACTCGGGTGTAATGTCCTGGTTGGTTATCTTTTCTGCTCAATCCTGATCCTCAAAGGGAAGAAAGGAGGATGAGCCTGCGTGACCAATTTGCGACCCTTTAAAAATACAGTTTGTTCGTTCGTTCCTCTTGCCCCCTGCAGTGTCGAGGTGAAGTATAATTTACGGAAAAGTGCCCATTTGTTTGCTTCGTAAATGGGGATTCCCAGGGACTCCGTAACCCATTCTGCTCACAGCTTGAATGATCGGCCTCTACTTTGCTTCACACCTGGTCTGTACATTATTGCTTGCTGTGTATACTGTCTGCTAACATTCGAGTTTTATGGGCAAACGATTTCACCTGTTGTCTTCTAATTAAATTAAGAACTGCTGTTACCATCATTTTCCTTCGGATTTCATTCTTTTTGATCTTTCTGATCTTGCCCTGGTTGGTTGTCTGTGGCTAAACTGATGTTTCAGGACTTGTGAGTTGAGTGCACATAAGTTTTCCACAGTTAAAATACTGGGTGCAGACTGTTGCTTCCTCACCTTTCAGACAGTAAACGTTCCTTTCTACATTTGCCAGGCCTCAGGTGGGGGACCCATTTCAGGGATGATTATGTAGACCTGTAGATAGGTCGTGACCAGTATCAACCCTGGTCGCGATGCACCAAACTAAAACTATAATGACATTATGGTGTATATTAGTAAGCATGACAATAACCGCATATAGTATGCTCACACTGATGTTTATAACTCTAATGCACATTAAATAATAGCATGCAAGCTGTACAAAGCTGTCAAATACAATGATACAACACTGTCCTATATGTTAGTTATGCATTATATGAGAGACAAGAGACGGTGTCACGACAATTTACCTGTCGCCCCTGCAAAAGTCAGAGGAGAGAAAATATTCAGATTTATCCATAAAAATTTAACAGAGGCAACCTACAGAAAAAAAATACCACTACCAATGCATTTCTAATCAGATGCACTGGAAAAAATCAAATACTAAAAAATGCTTTGTTGTTTTCATAAGAATTATCCGTTACCGAGTCAAGGCAGAAAATATATACTTTTTATTTTAAAAACAACTACTAGGTATTTCCATGTAAATGGCGGCTTCGATGGCGAAGTGGTCAAGCCATTCGTCTCATGCTCCCAAGGCTGCAGGTTTGTTAAACGGCTGCTTTGTTCTGTTTACAAGTTTAAATTTTTGAGACCCCTCTTTTTAAATAAACACACCACATTAGCAGATAGGTATTTAAGAAATACCTGTTAAGAATGGTATTTAATAAAGACATTTATTATTTATTCAGTTAAGAATGGTAATTAACAAAAGGATTCAAGAAATAATTCAGTTAAGAATAGTATTAAAAAAAATTCAGTTACAAAAGGTACTAAAAAAAATAATTTAGTTTAAAAAAAAAATTCCATTATGTAATGTAAGAATGGAGAACCTCTAGGCTAACAGTATATTTTTAAAATCTAATATAAACATTTATAAATGCAAAGTAATAGTATAAAATATGAAAATAAAAAATATATATCTTGTTAGTAACTGTAAGGTTTTCTCCTTGCATACTTTTAAAAACTGGGTGGTTTTTTTTTTTTTTAAGAATATGCCACCATTTAGGTGTTATTTAAAAAAAAGGCATGTAAGGTCTACCTTAAAGCAAGGAAAAATACAAAGTTTGTGCATTCACTCAGTTAATTTAATTTTAATATGAGGGACATATGCTATGTCAATGAACAGCAGGTTATGTAAAAACTGTTATATGGTGCAACTGAAAAGATGGTACATAAATGAAACTCCAATTTCATCACACACAAAGATATTTTTGCAAAAAATATTTGGAGAGAGGCTTAACAAAACAAAAACAACAAAAATTTGACATGTGAAGAAGTATATCATCAGCTAAGATTAAGAGCTTTTTTATTCTTTTCTTCAACCCTCATCCTGCTGCATACATAATACTTTAGGTCTATTTAGTAACTCCTCCATCACTTAAACAAATTACCAAATATTTCTTGCTCATTTCAAGACAGGTCATTTGTTTATTTCAAAGACAATCTTCTACTTCATATTTGCCGGCTGTAAATTCCGGTGCATAGTTCAGGTTGTTTGTCCATTTCTAGACTTCGGTCTTGTTCCAGAACCTGAGTTTTGCATGCACGTCTGTTTTACAGATCTAACTTACATAAAAGCATGTAGACTGTTGGTTCCTTACCTCTCAGGCAGATGCACTCCAACTTTGAAGGAAATATGCCTAATTAGTCAACTCTTACACCAAGATAGAGGACAGCTCCATGTGGATTTTAACGTTTGGATCCGCAGGCATGCATCCAGCTGCTACACCATGGCGGCTGCTGAATTCCTGCAGACCTCAGTATTTACTACATTTAAGCTCAACTCTTTGAGCTAGAAGAAGGTTGAGTAACATCTGCTTGGGAATGACAGAATTAACCATGTTTACACTGGACAGTCAGTACACAGCCTTTCAATGTATATCTATGCCTTCCTAAATTCAAAACCATAACCATGCTTTAGCAATTCAGTTTAATACCAACGCTATCTTGTCAAGTTTATATGTACATGTGTTATTTCTTTAAAATAAAAACATTTTTCTTAAACGGGGGGGGGGGGGGGGGGGGGGGGGGGGGGTGTCTTCGTGGCCAAGTGTTTAAGCCACATGCCTAACGCTGTGAAGGTTGTGTTCGTGAATACACTGTTCAGTTTACGACTGCAGTTTATACAGAGATCTCCAGTAATCATCACTAGAGCTACGGAGTTTGTTTTGTTCAAAAGTCTCGACGGGTGGCTAGCTGTTCCACAGAGACAGATGAAGCTATATGGGATGACTCTGTGAAGTCAATCCTCTTGACCTTAACTTCTAAATAACAACTTTCAGATTCAAATGTGTACCTGGTTTGCAGATGCTGGCAGCAGAAAGTTGGCTGTGGTCGGTACAGCCTTGGGTGTGGTAGGAATGTCTCTCTTACCCAGAGCCATGCTGACGATTGCAGTCATGTGAGTCTCTGGACCAAAGACATGAATTGGTAACCCCAGTCGGTTTCCTGTAAAGTTAAAGAGGGCAAAAAAATGTTACAATATATGACTTTATTACATATTGATGCAAAGTCCCTGAATGTTAAAGCAATAAAAACAAAAAACACTACACGCAAAGATATTAAGCAAATTATGTTCTATGATATGAAGCAAATTATGTGAAAGGACAGTAATAAATGAGTTTTCTCAAGCTTTGCTCTAATAGTAATTTTTGAAAAGTGATCTTTATTGCCTGTCTTTAAACCACCTTTTAGGGCAGAGTTTTTCAACTAGCAGCCCATGGGCCAAATATGGGCCACAGAGACTTAGCAAATGGGCCGTAGATCATTGCCAATTGTATTGTATTAATGATCTTTCCATGCTGGTGGCTCAGGCCCATGAAGATCCCCATTTTTTCAATATTTCATCCCCGAGAAAACAGCCAAACAGCCCTGTGGGGATGGGGGTCCTCGAGCATGAGAATTAAGGCTGGATGGCTAATGCAGCTGCTAAGGCTGGTACATGTAAGACTCCCCCCCCACGCCCCGGTCACAATAAAATCCCCCATCTTAAGGAGAATATAAACTTGGGTCTTCAGAATAAAAAACCACACTGCAATATCTTTTTCTTCTGCACATTCATCGGCTGTAAACTCAGGTGGAAAAGTTCTTGCTGTTCATCCATTTCTGGTGGTCTTGTTATAGAACTTAAGTGCTGCGTGTACATTTTCTAGATCCGTTTTACATATCTGACTTATTTGCATGCAAACTGTTGGTTCCTCGTCTCTCAGGCAGATGCACTCCAACTTTGTAGGATACAGCCCTAATAAGTTGACTTTTGCAACAGACTTATTAGAAGGGGAGGGGGGCACTGGGTCTGATCCCTAACCCCCCCCCCCCCCCCCCCCACCCATAATGGTACCCCAGAACTCACACAGGGACACTATAATATACAGATCTGCATTGCAAGCTGTATGGAGTTCACTGCTCTGGCTCATTTAAGAAATAGATCAACAGTTAATCTCACAAAAGTCCATGAATTAGTGAATCCCATAAAATAAGTAAATAGTAATAGTAACAGCACTACTGAAACCTAGCATGTACATCAAAAAAGCTAATTTAGGAAAGTTGGTGCAGTGAGTGACCTTTTCCTATAGAAAACTAGCTGCCAAATTCAACCAACCATGAATAAATCTACAAAAGGACTGGTTTTAGCTGGCTGAAGGCCTATGCTCCATTGGTAGGCAAATAGCAGAAGAATCAATCACTACAAAGCTGTGAATTTATCAAACAACCTAACTGAACACAACGATATAATTCCCCGTGTGGATTCTGAGACCTCATTTTGAGAATAAAGAAAAAACCCACAGCCCCCCCCCCCCCCCCCCCCCCTTTCCCCACATAAACAAGCTGCAACACATTACTAATTATTGGTTTGCTGAAGTTGGGTACGTTGAGCTAAACGGTGCAGATATCACTGCCCAGCTGTAAACCACAATGTGACAACCGCCATCTAAAGGGTTAACACGGAATAAAAAGAAACAATATGTTTACGAGACCAGACATTAACGGCAACACCAGGTACAAAGTTTAGCCTGGTGAGCAGTAAACTTACCCAGCTCTCTCATAATTCTGAGGCCCTCCTGGTAATTTGGCCCGGCTCTCCTGACATAAATGGTCACCTTGCCTTCTACCAGTTTCTGCTGGAACTCTTCTAGTGCTCTCACAATACCCTGACAATAAATACAGATTTCTTGCATTAATATTTCCATCTCGATCTTCCATGCTTCCAAAAAGCATAATTCACAGATCACTCTAAAGTAAACTGAAGTAAAAAAAAAAATGAAAGAGCAACACACACACACAAAAGTTTACTAAACAAAAAAATATACATAGGAAGGTGTGAGTTGCAGTAGTCTAAGACTAAGCAAGTGTGCCTGCTGCTCCTATAGCGATTACTGATTACTGTTTTAGGAATCAACATCATAGCACACCGGCATACTCACAGATGCTCTGTCTCCTGCAGCAAATCATTTTTGTAGCCAGAAAATCTGCTCTTTCATTCCCCGGCTGCATGTCTCCTATAGCGAAAGGTTCAATCAACTGACCTAGGATTCCAGATCGACCCATCCTAAACTGGATAACGCTGACTACCCCAATATATAAAACAAATTTAACATACACTTGCTGTAATTTGTGCAACTGGCTAGCTTTGTGTGTATGTATAACAAACTGAACATACAATTGCAGTAATTTGTGCAACTGGCTAGCTTTGTGTGTACCAATGAAAATATCATGTGTAATATACTTTTTACATTTTACCAGTGAACATTACATAAATATACAAATTTACCACACAACACCACCCCCAATTCCTTACTTCAAAGAAGAGGAAAGGGTTCTTAAATAAACAAACAGAACAGAGAATTTACCTTGAATGTGGCAGCAACGTTGGTGAAGTTTGCAATGCCACCACCAATGATAAGTATTTTGCCTGCAAAGAATAAAAGTTATCATTTTGGAGGTTTTCAGCATCTGATATTTGTATGTGATGTTTATAAAACAACAAATGAGATGGTTGGGCTACTTGAGGAGAACACCCTGGTACCAACTGCCACAGAAAGCCATTTTGAAGAAATATAATGAACACAGAGCAAGAGGAAGACCATGCAAGTATAGAGCGACATCATCAGGGGCAACCTAATAGAAATCAACTTGTTCAATGCACTGGAAAAAAGCACACAAATGATCCTAAAAATCCCCCCCCCCCCCCCCCCCCCCAAACACATCGCTGAGGAAAAAGATGAAAGAGAAGAAGATAAAGATGTCTATAAAGGAAATTTTGTACAGAAATATTTAATTCTATCGTCAAATCAATACCGTTGTATGGATCAGGAAGCGACTGAAATATTTACTGATAAACTACAAACATTCATAAACTTCCTGAGCATTACAGAAGAAAATGATTGGTATGTGGAATCACAAATGTGGAGAAAGGTTAAAAGATTAATATTCCAAATAATCTAGAAATAAGGAACAGATACTGGCTTTGCAGAGGACACTCAGTAAGAAAAACTGATAATATTCAAACTAGCATATGCCTGCAGTGGAACCCACAGAGCAAAAGAGACAGAGGGAGAGCTAATCATACAGATTATAGAATAAGAAACAAAACTGAATTATATAGGGAGGTCACTGATGGAGCTGCATGAGATTTCAAGGGATACGACAAAGGGTTAAATGGGGGAGAAAAGGCATAAGAAGAACTCTGTGAGTTATGTATCCACATCACCGCTAAAAGTTTCAGATTGGCACAGCTATGGACACCACTACCAATGATAAGTATTTGAACTGTGTTTGAATTCAGAAAGACTGAACAGATAACGCCAGTTATCATGAATTATGTCAGAACTTTGGTGATCATAAAGCTTCCTGACGTTTCCATTTAAGTTATCCTGTACTGTTATTTTCAAGCCCAATCTAAGTCTGCACTGATAAACTGGGGCAGGCATGTTTTATAAATGCTTTTTTTTTCTTCAACTGATCACTACTACTTTTCCACCATTAATTTGTCCCTTTGTCCTCTCTGGTGTCTGAATCAAGGAAGTGACTGGAGGGGTCTCTGAGGCAAAGTGGTCAAGCTGTTTGCTTCACTCTCTGAAGGGCACAGGTTCGTTTTACAAATGCACTGTTCCATTCACGTACAATCTGTACAGATCCCTAGGGATCGCTGCCAGAGATATGGAGTTCAGGTTTTGTATGACGCCTACAGCAGGTGACTGAGCCATATGGTATAACTCAAGGCAATGAAGTCATACTCCCGATTCTAGTAACTTTTCTCTTAAAAATATGAAGCAATAAAAGCCTCCATGTTCCGATATATAAAAAGTATAATAAATTTTGTCCCTTCATTGACACACATGGACAAAAATGCCTGGTATTTTTTCACGTGGACTTCTAGTAATTTCCCCTGGTCTCTGGGTAGTGAGATTGGATGTCTGTGTGTATTTTTGCACAAGTAAAAAAAATCCTTTGGCAGTTGGAAATCAAAAGGAGTCGCCTTAAAGTGCTGCCCAGGTAAAATTTGGAGTTAAAAATCTACCCAAAGGAGTTAGAAGTAGAACAGAGCACTTATAGGTTACTAACATTGTGCCATGATGTTGATCCATTGTTTAAACCAAACCAAAAATGAATTCACTAATAAGATAAAGAGCCTTACCGTCAGGATTGTGTTCCTCTGTCATGAGAGACAGAATAGTCTTTGCATATTCATAGGTTTGCTGTTCACTGGGTGCACCGGAATATTCTCCATAATTGGCCAGTTCAGACGCTCCACCAAGGTCACAAATGGTATCCCTGAAATGTTAAAACAACATACATTTAATAAACATGCAGCAATTAAACTGGGTGAAAGAAAACTAGAAATTTACATAACAGACTGAACATGACAAAAGTGTGTGCATGCTGAGTTCCCTTCTGGCAAATAAATAGAAGCACATGTGCGAAAACTGTTCTCGGCAGATGCTTAAAAAAAATGGCAGACAACAAAATGGTGACAGTAGCCAGTAACATCTTGGTTTTATCATTATAACCACTGATTCAAAATGTCAAACATGCAATGGAAATTCTCAGGCCCCAATCAAAATGACAGCACAGAAATATTCACACCTGCCCTCTTAGCATGGTTTGTTCAGCTAGCAGCCAAGGATTTCAACACTGAAGTACTTTCACATAAAAACTATTCCCCAGGTCACTAATATTTTTGCTTTCCTAAACAACACAAAAGAGTCAAAAGGAAATCTTTTTATTAAAGAATAAGTCCCACTAACATGTGAGTGCTGGGTTAATTTTTAAAATGTAAGTTCTACTGGCAAGGTATCTTCAAGGTACATCAGAGATAGCATGAGAGAGTCAGATCAAGTAATGGCTCTAATAAGAAGGAATAAATGCAAATTTTTTTTTTTTTGGGGGGGGGGGGGGGGGGGGGGGTGACCTTTCCTTCACAGTGCAGGTTAACCCTACCAGACCTGAGGCTCTGAACCTAACTGTCCCTATAACCTGAGCTCCTGGCATTAATGGGAAAAAACCAACATGATATACACAAATATTAGTTACATGCAAACAAGTGGCTAGAATATGATAAAACTTGGAGACATTGTAGAAAATAAGCTTACCTTTTATCTAGCGCCAATATTCCACCTTTGTGTGCGAATTCACTCATCAGGGTCAACTTTGTTTCACAAAGTGAACACCAGATGTTGCCGTTTGATGGACACACCACCTTCTCCTACTATCGATCTATTTCAAGATTTATAATTTTCAAGATTTTCCTCATCATTCGAGCTCTCACTGACAGTGTCACTTTCAAGAACGTATTCTTTATGAAATTATCACAGATAATGAATATATATATATATATAACACAGTCTGAATAAAAGTATCGATCACCTGTTGGACTGTGAAAAGCCTAAAACTTGGTTCATCAGCCGCTCGTTTCATTGTGAATTTTCATAATTTTTCCACTTAAAACAACACAAATATAATCCACACATGCGGGCATCCCTTTGCAATGTCTAACAAAGATGATTGATAACGACTGGGTGGTTATTTTTAGTCTGTGACATCGATTTCCCGTACTACGCAAAAAGCCGAAAATTAGGGCCAGCGGTATTGAGACAGGTTAAAAAAATTCCTGGTAAACCGGGCCAGCAATCTGGTAGGGTTAAGAATTATGGTGGATCCTTTGTGTTGATTTATGGAAGGTGTCCCACAGATCACCACAGAATTAACAGTGTGCTGGTTTGTTTGTTAAGACTTGCCATCATCAATTAAGAAAAACATTTTTTGACAGACTAAGTACGGGCACCTCTTGCAGCTGCCTCATGCACGTGCAAGCTGTTGGATTAAGCCAGGAGCGCTGTCTTGTCTTTTCACATGCGACAATTATGGGCATTTTGTGTGGTTTTCCCTAGTAAGGAAACACAGCATTTGGGGATGACATGTCAGCAATACAGCTAGAAACCTGACTGATATCATGTTGTTACCATCCTCACAGCAAAAAATTAAAATCACAAAGACTACTCACGCATAAATGACTGAAGCTCCTCCTCCAGCTACCATAGTCCATATACGACCTCTTCTGTTGAGTACTGTGAGCTTGAGACTTGCTCCACTCTTGGCATCCAGTTCAGCAATATATGCTTCCTGAAAAAGATGCAATTTAGTATTATATAACATGCTAAAGACACCGTACAAACAATCAACTTCACTGCATGCTGACAGATGATCAAGTGCTTCTGACGCCACAAACGCTTATTTCACTAAAAACTGCACGAATATTGCAGCATCAGTAAGGACAGAAATGCGTGCCAATGGGGACACACATGTGTGAGAATCTACTAATCTTATATGTCCTAGCTTCTGTATTTTCAGGCCAGAGATGGATGTAAGATCTTAAAGGCCATTCCTAAGCCATTCAGATATCGGAAACCAAAAATAAATAAATAAACTGAGGTACAGAGGCCTTAAAACAGAAAAAAAAAGATGTAAATTCTCATTCAAAATTTACTTTACACCTGACAAAAAACTTTACGCATTGCAACATTGTTAAAAATTTTTAAAAAAAAATTTTTTTTTTTGGCGGTACTCTCCATTAAGACTAGTCACACACTTAAGTGGGTTTTTTTTAAACCATACCATTCGAAGTATTGGCCATTAAAGTGGCGCTCCATAGAGACACTCTAATACTGTTTTTGTTTGCTGGGAAAACAAATTTGTATGAACATGTTTTGAAAAACTAGAATTAGTGAAATTAAGTCCTTTCGTTTTTAAAGGTTCAGCATGCTGTTTGTGTCACTTTCTGATCTGTTTTAGATTAAATTGCATGTGACAAAATTATTATGTGACTTTTCCGGACCAAATGATCAGGGGAAAGGTCTAAAACTGTTCATACTGCTCTGTCGATGATAAATCTCAGCTAGATAGTGATAATAGTCTTGATATTATGACTGATAATGCAAGTGAAAAATCTACTGGCGATAATACAGGTTGGAATGACGTCAAACAAAATATTTCAATTGGATCATCTCAGTTTCGATCAGCTGTTTTCATGATTTAGGTTGTTGTGAAATCTGACATGTCATACAAAAATGGTAAGAACATCCAAGGCAATTAATTGTTTCGAATAAAAGACTAGCTGATACATAACTGAACAAAGAAGGCATGTGAAAACTTAAAACTGGACAGCAATGTTGTTGAATACGTACAGAGGTAAGCACGAAATTTTTTGTGTAAATAATCTTCATATGTCTAACATCCTTGAATGTTGTGTGATTTTGTTGTTGTTGTTATACTGACAATTAAATAGATAGGATTTATTTTGCACTCATTTCTTTTTAATCTGATATATTATATTTCTCTATACAGCCAACACTTTTTCTTCAGGAAGGTTTTAGCTTTGTCATGTTGCAGTAACAAAAATTCCGCTTAAAATTAATGCTGTCCAAACCCCAGAGCAAATATGGTCTTGAAAGAGTTAACACCCATAGATTTTCAGATACAAGCAGAAATGTTAATTATCACCGTTGTTAGATACTATGTGGTGAGTATTGGCACCTTTTTTTTTTTAGATACTATGTGGTGAGTACCAACACCTTTGTTAGATACTATGTGGTGAGTTCTAGCACCGTTGTTAGATACTATGTGGTTAGTACAAGCACCGTTGTTAGATACTATGTGGTGAGTATTGGCACCTTTTATTCTCGAAAAACAAAAGCTTTGTCTGAACAAGAAAGGACTTACAACATATAGGATATCAGATTGTGGGGCCAACAATGGTAAAGGTCACATAGCATGAACTATATTAAGTAGTTTTCTGTTACATCACACCACACACCTCTGGTAAAGCATCTCTGCCAAAGGGAGGAGGAAATTCCACATTCCCCCACTTTGCTTTGCATAAGAATTCAGCACACTGGTCAATTTTGGCAGCAAGGTCAAGAATATATATCTGTGTTCCTTTGACCACTGAAAAATCAAGTTGAGAATTGCCAAATGCCAATCACACCAGCAAAGAAGACAATAAATTAAATGGTAAATGCATAGCATAAAATTTTTAAATTATCAATCTTAGCCTAAACTAAGACATAATTTATAAAGCCTAAGCTAAAGCATATGTTAATTTCCATGTTTTTAAACTATATATTAATATGTGTAAAACAATACTCTTGCTACAGCAACTAGAATCATTGTCAGTACATTCCAGGAAGATCTAATGACGAATGAAGAAATTACAACAGAGGCTTAGCAAGTGACCCACGGATCACCTACCAATGTATTGCATTCATGATCTATCTAAGCTAGGACTTGGGACTCTAGCCTGCGATAATCCCCATTTCCCAACATTTTGGTTCCTCCGTAAACTTAGTTGAACAGCCTTGCTATATAAGCATTGGGTTGGAGTCCACTGACAATGAAATACCCCAAAAAAAAACTGTGGGGAAAACACAACCAACACAACAATCATAATCTAGGCACAACCTAAAATCCCCTCCCTAGATGTGAAGTCCTGAAGGAAGAAAATAGGGGATTTTCATCCGAATGCTACAGAAAGATTCTCAGAATATCAGGACTAAGAAGAAAAGAAATACTGTCGTCCTGAGACAGTGTTTCTCAAACTTTTCTTAGTCGCGCCTTTTTTCTTTCTTCAATTAAATTTTTTACACGGTGCCCTAACCTTAGTAAAAGTTGGACTATTCGTATGTAAGAGATTTGAAAAAAAAAATTTATCTTCAGTTTGGAAACCACTGTCCTAAGAGATATGAACATCAAGAAAAAACAGCTAGTTAAGTAAACAGTCTTTGTCTCGTAAAGTGAAAATTAGTGGTGATATTCAGCACAACATATGGGGGTGGGGGGGGGGGGGAGATAGCAGAAGGCAAGGTACCAGGAAAGAGGGACAGGAGCCTACCAGTATGAAGATGGGCACAGGATATAAATAACATGCTGGGTAGGAAAGTGCATGAGGTAGGAGAGCTGGCACGAGACAGTTTCTTTCAGGAAGACTTGTTCTGCAAAGGATCTGCTACTTGATGAGATGATGATGGAGTTATAGAACACCCTGCTGGTTTCTGGACTTGCAAAGAGGAAGGAAAGATCGACAATACAGTTTCTATGCTAACCTCATTTAGGGAAAACAAACCATATCAGGTCACAGGCAACCTGAACGTCCATATAATGGACTGACAAATTTAAACTTGAACGTCCATATAATGGACTGACAAATTTAAACTTATATCTTCTAGAAAATTCAAAAATAACTAAAGCAAAGACTTTTCGGTTCCCTGCATCTTATTAACATATTAACTTATTCAACAGGTGCACATATCCATATGTTTATACTGAACTCAGATCACTGATGTCCAAGACTAGTACCCCAACTCCTCGTTTCCCAGCAGGTAATTAACATATGTAACTTATTCAACAGGTGCACATATCCATATGTTTATATTGAACTCAGATCACTGATGCTCAAGACTAGTATCTCAACTCCTCACTTCCCTGCATCTGATTAACATTTGCAGCTTATATAGGTGTATATATCCATAAGTTTATATTCTTCACATTCATCTTAAGATCACAGACAATATAAACAGGCCTCTATTTCATACTGTCAGGAGTCTGTTTACATCGATGCCCACCTACAGTGGACTGCAGGTTACTATGTAAATGTCGGGTCTGGCCTAATATAACTGTGTTATATGGGTGAACAAGGTTTGTTTCTGTCAGATTCTCACCTGGATAGTGGCCTCTTACACTCACTGGGCATTAATCTTTTTCAGTTTCTAAAAGGTAAAGATTTGTGTTAGCAAACTTTCGTGGACAAATTTCTCACCAAAGCAGAACAAATATCTTACATCTTACCTAATGGGTTGATTTCCAGGTACGTAAAATGAAGATCTTGATACACTTGGTACAGTGTAGTGATAAAGTCCGTTAGAGGCCTGCAAACAAACATTTTAATTGAACAATGCCAATTTTAATTGAAAATGGACCTCCCTATTTTTTTTAAATCATAAAATATGCTATAATGTATCAAGAAGAAAAACATTGATTTTTCACCAGGTTAACTGTGAAAATGGGGCCAGGAACCCACATGGGGCATTGGTTAACTTGATTAACCAATGCCCCATGTGGGTTCCTGGACCCATTTGGAGGAATAAAAAGAACAGACTCACTGCCCCCTAACAAGCATGATGTAAAAGGCAACTAATCTGGAGTTTGCTGAAATCGGATGTGCTGGGCCGAAACAAACATACATCACAGCCTAGCTGTAAAGTGCCAACTGCTTCTGGAAAAGAACCAGTAACACCGCGTGATGTGACACTATGATGTAAGAAGCATTCAAATTCACTGTAAACTAGAAATAATTACCATACTAAATGGTTTACTGACAATTGCAGTCGGTACCTCTACACCTTATTTACATTTTGGTCTGATCACATAAGGACTCCATTCAAGATTTCAAATAATCTACTTTTCAGGAGCTTTGTTTTGCTGTCTTAGTGATTAGTGATTAGAAAGGATTATCATCACAGCACTCCAGACAGATCCATAGGTGCTCCAGTCTTCTCCTCAAAAGCTCCACAAGTGTAAAACAACTCATGATGCCTGTTCTGTGTTAGTTAATGAAACTTCCTGTCCCGTTAGTGAAATGTTCATTTCCTGCAGCTCCAGGCTGCACCCCCATGACTATCAGTCTAGACAGGGATAGGGAGTCACGTCCTTTGGCGTGCTACTCGGTACGGTAAGCGCAGCACATGGCATTGATAACATCACTTCTGTCCAGTACTGGGCCAGCCATAGCAACTGCAGTGTCAGCAAGATAGTCTGCACTCATGTTCCCTTGAACACCCGCATGACCTGACACAAAAATGAAGGTTAGGGCAGATATTCATGAAGTGCTTATTGTTTCAATCCATTTTTGCCTGATAAATCAAGCTTGGATTTTTTTAAGCATATTCATTGAGTCTTCTGCTTTCTTATCCCTCAGTGGAGCATAAGCCCACAATGAACTTATGGCAAGTCGTCTCATCTTATGCTAAAGTGCAAAGCTCACACCATGCCCTCCCCATTCTTTTCTCACTTCACTATTTCCTTTCCCTGTGGTTTTTTTTTCCCTGCCTTTCTTTGACCCACTGCAAGGACATTCTAGTTATATTGTTATCAGGTTTTTTCAGTCTGTGTCTGTCCAATGCTAGCATCTTTTTATCACATTGGTCCATTCAAATTTGTATTCTTTCTTAAAGACCCATAATAGTGATTCTGTTATAAAATAATGTTATCTATATGAGCAGGCTACAGTTAACGATATTTATTGTTAGTTTGTCAGCAACTGCTTTAGCTCTACATGTTTCATCTCCATACATTACTAGTAATTTCTTCTGCCCTTTACCCTTTCAGCCCGAAGGAACGCATCATAGGCTCAAACCTGATTATACGTGTTTCTTTTAACACCTAAGCTGATGCTAAACCCCCTGGGACTGAATGAGTTCAAAGAGTGGTTGGCTCACTGTGTTGTGGTTTACAGCTCAGCAAACATCTAATCAAGTGCTTTTTTTTTTCAACATATGCATTAGGGGCAACAGGTCTATTCTCTCCCACCGCAACCCAAAATGGGGTCCCAGAATCCATACAGGGAATGTTACTGATTTGAAAGAGCTAAATATTTCAAGATTAATGGAGCTATGTTAGCTTACTGGTCACTGCATTGGCTTCCTGCTGAGAACGCACTAAGTAATGTCGAGGTGAGGGTTCAGTCCCAGTTGCAGACGATTTGGTAGCAGGTCGCCTCAAGTTGCTTTCAACAACAATGGTATCAAGTTCTGACTTTTCAGAAAGCAATGGCAAACTACTTAACATAACATTTCTCAGTAAAATCACAACAGCCATCCAAAAAATGATAGGGCTGGTTTTGCAATGTCCTGTAAAAAATATAATTTTATGTTTTAACTGGCACATTTCAGATTTCACGTAGCAATACTACCATCATCATGATAAGTGTTGGTAAGGTCAATGTCTTTGCCCACCCTCTCCATATGGCCAAGCTAGCCATGTATTTATCTCGCTGCCTTCCCCTTCAATCCTGCCAGTCGTCACCAAATTCTTAAGTCCATTCCTTCTCATAACATGTCACATATAGACTGTACATCTAATTTCCCTTTCCCGTGTGGGTTTCCTATTAGGGAAAACAATAGACCCTTGGCCTACCCAAGAGCATGTCGTACGAGTCCACTAATTGGGAGCTTTCATCTAAGTTCGAGTGCATCTGCGCGAGAAGCAAGAAACCAACAGACAGCACACAAATGAGTCATATCTATCAAACGGATGAATACACAAGACTCAGGTTCTGAAACAAGACTGCAGTCCAGAAGTGGACGAACAACAAGAACTTTCTGCCGGAGTTTTCAGCCGGTGAATGCAAAGAAGAAGAAGATCTAATTTCTCTGACGAGTTAAAGGTTTCCCACAGACATAACAATATCTTCTTCCTTTTTGCACTCACAGGCTGTAAACTCCGACTGAAAGTTATTGTTGTTCGTCTACTTCTGGACCTTGTTTTGTTCCAGACTTCAGTTTTGCATACACATCCATTTTACAGATCTGGCTTATTTGTATGCAGACTACTGGTTCCTCATTATTCAGGCAGATGCCATAACATTTTAAGAGCTAGGAATTATTTACTTACTGCTTTGCACTCTCTGGGACGTGGGTCAACAGCTTGCTTTTCACATCACTGGCTGAGAGTTTTTCGTCCACGGGTACATCCAGTTTCAGGGCCTTAGAAATTAGCAAAAAACTGCTTTACATACTGGTTGGTTTACAGAGTACCATAAAAATATTACCTTATCTGGTTCACAGAAAACAAGAAAGTGTAACAAGAAAGCTGTTAAACCTCACATTCTGGTTCTCACACACATAAAGCCCTGGAAGCTGTTACTGCACCTCTGAATCCGGTTCACATAAAACAATAAAAGATAGCTGTTGCACCCTTCATTATGGTTCACACACACAGACAGCTGTAAACACCTTTTTTCTTTCTGGTTTAGACACACACATATGACAGCTGTTACACCTTTTGTTTTCTGGTTTACACACACACATACAAACATACAGCTGTTAAATATCTCCTTCTGATTCACAAAAAACAAGAAAGCTGTTTCCATACCTCCGATTCTATTCACAGAAAACACAATAGAACAATTTGTTATCCTGTTTATTCATGTGTGGTTTTTTTTTTTTAAATTTCTTTTTTAAACATTTTTACTATCCATCCTGAACATGATAATATCCTGCCGATGAACAATCTGTCATCCATGAAAATGTGCACATATCTAGACACAGTTTTAAACTGTTATCTACTGAAGTGTGACAGTACAGACACAGTGATTATCCATAGGCCGCTAGGCACTGAGCTCGAGTCTGCTGACAATAAAATATAAACAAAGAAGATACAAACAGACTGCAAAATCTACGGCCTTTCATATTTTGCTGTATCTCATCAGGTGCATACTACAGTAAAAAATATATGAAAATTAAACAAATAGATTCATTCTTCTAAATCAGCGGTTTTCAACCTGTGGGTGGTGAAACCTTTGGGGGTCGAATGCCCCTTTCAAAGGTGTCGCCTAAGACCATAGGAAAACACAAATTCCCTGAAGTTATGAAAATAATTTTATAGTTGAGGGTCACCACAACATGAGAAACTAATTGTATTAAAGAGTAGCAGGATTAGGAAGGTTGAGAACTGTTCTAAATGAAACACAAAATCTACTACACTAAAAAGTAACTGCCTGTTTCACTAGAGCAAATGCAGGTGTGTGTATAGTTCTGGACTGAACCAGTTTATTAAAGTGGCTTCCGTAAAGCGTAGCATTCTGCAGTTGCTTAAGGCACTGAATGAGTTCTGGGCCCTGTTTAAAGGTGGTGATAAATAAACGGAAGGGGGACGGAATTAACACCCCCCCCCCCACGTGACAAGAGACAAAAAATTAGGGATTACTGAAATCAGATGTGCTGGACCAAACAACAAAAATGCACACATCACAGCCTAGATGTGAACCACAATACAATGTGCCAAATGTCATTTTATGGGTGAACTTAGAAGAACATGAAGCCCATGGCCAAGCTCATAAGATAGTAAGCCCCATTTCTTACCTTAGAATCAACATCGCCAATATCAATACCTCCTTCATGGTAAAATAAAATGGTGTCGGCATAACGGTGCGAATGTATGCACACATAGAACTCCTCATTCTAAAAACAAGAAAGAAGAAGAAAACACTCCGTTAAATTAGCTTGTTCTTTAAAAACAAAACAACAACTTCTTAAATTAAATGCATACCAAACAATTATATTTCAAATGTTAAGATCAAGAAGATCTGTGTTTGCTGCTTAGATGATGCGAACACTCTTCAACTCCCAAATGCTCAGTTAGATTCCAGCTGCAGGCATTTTGGCAGCCGACTGTTTTGCGTTGATTCTGACACTGGAATGGAGTGCCCACCATTTAGAGAGCAACAGCAAACTACAAGATATAGAAGAAGGAGGAAGAAGAAAGAAGAAGAAGGAAGGAGGAGGAGGGGGATGAGGAGGAAGAAGAAGAAGAAGAAAAAGAAGAAGAAAAAGAGGAAGAAGAAGAAAAAGAAGAAGAAGAAGAAACCAGTTAACAATGAAGACGAATGTAAAGACCTTTTTTCATGCCTTGAGGTGTGTACTGGGTATGTGGTGCTTGATCCAGGTTTGTAAAGGTTAATGCTTGTTCCAGGTTTGTAAAGGTTAATCAGCAATTAATAAGTAATGTCAATATCATAGCAGCAGCCTTTACTTTCCAGAGTATTTCCTGATACCACTTTAAGGCTAAGGTGCAAAAACAAATTTTTTAAACTGCTGCAGGATGATAATAGGCAGAAGCCGAACAGCTTCAAGATTTAGTTATATACTGTCTGTTTTTTTGTTTTGTTTTTTTTTAACTTATATTTCCACTAAAATTTTAAACACACATTTCACTGTAAACAATATAAAGTTCTCTCTTCACCGTTAAAGTTCTAAATTTTCAGTCAAAGAAAGCAGTGTATGAATCCTAATCTGGGCAAATGCTAAACAAGTAGTAGTCCTGGCCCAAAAGACCATGAAGTGAAAGGGCAAAGCGAAATTACCTTCTTGGATAAATGGAGAAGAAGAAGTATGCCAACTCTTTTGGTATTGGGCTTTTGCAGCAGACTTCAAAGAAGGGAAATAACCACTATAAGAAATCATGGGCATTTCTATCAAAGAAGGAAAAAAGGCACATTACAAATAGCCAATTAAGAAACCCACTTCAGTATTCAATGGTTACATTCTGAAAGATAGAAGTCACTGCCAAATGGCTGGGTTATATACTGGGATTCTTAGCGAGAGAACCAATCAAAGGCCTCATTTGAAGGGGAAAAAAGGTCCACTGTTCCCAACAAGCTTGTCTTAAACATGTATTGTTGTTTACTTCTAAGTCAGACTGCATCTGTCTGAGAGGTGAGGAACCAATAGTCTGCACACAAATAAGCCAGAATTGTAAAATATTTGCAGGCAAAACTCGAGTTCTGGAGCAAGACAAAAGTCTAGATGAGGACAAACAGTCAGAAGTTTCCACCAGAGTTTACAGCTGGTAAACCCTAAGAAGAAGACTGGAACAGAGAGTGGCCACAGGTACTGCACACAGAATATGGAACCAGTCGTCCTACCTCCAAAGTTTACGATGTAACTGAAATAAAGTGAAGATACTGTTATCTAGACAAAGTTGTCTATTATACTTTAATGTACGCGTTACCCGTAATAATTTACCTGAGAATGATCCACAAATGGTTCAATGATGAATGTCTTTAAACGTCCTCTAGCAGCACCAATCTGTGAAGAGAAAGATTTAATTATTAATCATGCATTTTCAGTTTTGCAGGAATGAATCAGTTTAAAATCAACATATTTTCAATTCTCAGGATTGCACACAAAAAGGTTAACATCCAGTGACTCAAGGAGGCACAATGTGGATGAGAATCCAAAAGCAGCTAATCCCAGAAACCCCAATCGGTTGTATGACACAAATGTTAAAAAGTACAATCAACAGATTGCACAATTTACTGCCTGGCATATTTCGCTGTATCACATCTGGTGCATACTATAGTAACACTTGATTAAAATAAAGCAAATAAATAAACCCTTCCAACTGAAAGACAAATCGAATGCACACAAAAACTGGCTGTTTCACCAGGGTAAATGCAAGGAGAAGAGCATGTACTTTTGTCTGCATAATCCTGGACTAAACCAGTTGATAGCGACAGCTTCCACAAATCTCAGTAATCCATGGTTGGCTGAAGTGTAAATAATTCGAAATGCATCTTTCTTGTTTGCAATGTGCCCAGAATTCAAAATATGGCACGCTACTGCTGATAAGGACTTTTTTTGACCAGTCACCTGGTTTGTTATTGAGCTGTTGGGAATTTGCAGTGCTTTTACCACCCATAACGGAATATGTTCAGCAACTCCTTTTTCCAGTCATCGACTTTTTCTGCCCACATATGCAGCATCTGAAGGATTCATTTATTTGCTTTATTTTAATCAGAATAAGATCAAACAAAACTTAACAGATTTTTTTTTATAAACAGATTTTTAACAAATTAATTTTAGGTCGCATAACAAAACTCAGAAAAGTTTATTACAACCTGCATTAGAAATACATTTCTGACAATGTAAAAGTTAAATGTGCTAAGAGACTAGCTTCTTGAGGAAATCGAATGGATCGATCATTATCAACTTAACAAGCCTTAGTTTGTACGTAAAGAAAGAGAAAGGGGAAAAGGGAAAATTTAACCTTGCTACAAAAGACTGTCATTTGTTGACTTTTCTTGTTCAGTTCCATGAAGTTAAAACAAGCTGTGTTTTTTTTTAATTGTTACACAAGAGTCATATTAAAAGAGGCAAATACACACAAAACCAAAATTACAGAACTATACGCAAATAACAGCTTCCCGCTTCCCTACAAAATATAACATTTATACTATATATATAAATATAACATTTATATTTGCTGTTGGCAAACTATGTTTCTATTTGTTAAGGTGCATTGATTAACCTTAAGAACAAAGAACGATAAGCTCATTAAAACTGACATTCAGGAGAAAGTTTTGAAAGTTAAAAGCTGCACATGTACAAGACATTACTAAACAATTATCATTTAGAGGGCCTACCAAACAACAAAATTTTCAGTTCTCTTGTACCCTGAATAGCGTGGCTTTAAAGCCAGTTAATCTGCTTCACAATCCTCAACATACAAGAGTTCCATTTCGATGGTGGGCGGTTTCAGAAAAGAAAAAAAAAGATTGCTTTAGTGACTTTTGTACAGAGGTATAATTTATAGTCGAAGACATAGGGGCACTTTTTATGCCCTCTGCTAAACTCCAGCCCAGCAATATAACTCTTGAATTAAAGCCTCCCTTCTACAACTGTGTGATATCTGTGCCTTTTACAGAAAATCATGCAAATCACGTTGCTATGGAAATAATCAATATTCCAATGATTTAACACTGTAACCTCTAATAAAGCAGCCCAGGATGAAGAGAAATTCCAGGGAGGATATGGCCTGTTGTTTTCTGAACAGTTAGCTTTGATAATGAAGAAGAACTGCAGACCACAGCAGAGAGCAGCTAAGCAAAACATTTCCAACACTGTGACAACATCAGCTCAGTTTGAATAAGTTTTAACATAGTCAAATAACCTTTAACTCATTTTTCACTTGTCTCATCAGTTAT